ATAATAGCTTAAACAATAACAAAAATGATGAAGAAAATTTGACCAGTCTCAAAATTGACTTTTCTTTAAATCAAATTGAAATTCCAAGGGCTTTAAAGTTATTACCAGACTTGAAATTTAAATCAAATAAATCAAATAAATCAAACAAATCAGTGACGACATCAGTTAGTGGTGACACCAATCTCGAGGCAAAAAAATATAAACTTATCGAATATTATATGGTTCAATAAAATATTAATAAAATTTATTGTAAATCGCTAATATACTTTATACTATTTATAAAGATCATGTGGCCTAATTTAAAGTTTAATCTTTACCATAAAAAAAAATTCTTTTTAAATAATTTTCTTTTTATTTTTATTTTTATTTTTTTTTAATTTTTTTTTTTTTTTTTTAATTTTATTTTTATTTTTTTAACAATTTTTTTTTTTAAAAATTCGACAATATCATTTTTTATTTTTTAAATATTACAATATATAATATAGATATAGTACAAAATGAATGAACAAGATATTTTAAAGGATTTCAAAGGATCATTAATTATTGATTCAGAAGGAAAAATTTTAAGTGTAATTATTGGATTTAGTTTGACAATGGTTTATAACTTTATAAAGAGGTATTTAATATTAATATAACAACTTAATAATACATAAATATAGGCTGCAGGTACTTTACAAGAAGAATTTTATAACTCACAAGGATTCGCAACTACTATTCTTTCAATGTTACACGATGTAAATGTTATTACTACTTCAAATAAACAAGAATTTAAAAGAATGACAAGTAAGTTTAATTATATAATATACATACCCCATTTATATTTATATTAACATTGTTTTATCATAGTTACTTTTTCAAATCAAACTTTTATAGTCACAATTGTTGGTCAAAAAATTTTCGTAGTTGTACAATAAATTATTTTATTAACTATATATATTTTAAAAAAAGAAAAAAATAAAAAAAAAAGAAAAAATTTAAATAATTATAAAAGATCGGCAGTATATTTAGCACTAATGGGACTTTACAGAAAAAAAGGATAGAAGATTATCCTATATAGGTTTTTATTTTATTATTTTATTTAACTATAGTGTCATATTTTTGATCTATACTTTAATTTGTATTTTAATTGTTATTAGTTATAAAAGAAATATCCATTCGATAGTTTAAATAATCATCATCATCATCTTCACCATCACTTTCGAAAAAATCTATTTCATCATTAAATGGTGAATCATTTATAGTAATTTTGGATGATTTATAATTAATAAAAAAGAATGCAGATTTTTCTGATGGTGGTGAGGGATTGGATTGTATTTGTAATTGGGATGGTGTAGCAAATTGATTTTTTTGGATCAATATTTCAATTGGTGGTTTCTTACAGCCAGTTTTCTTTGAATTAGATCTCCATCTATTAAATATAGCAAGATCTGATCTACCTGGTAAAAATCTTTTAATTTCTGTCCACGATTTTTTTTCTTGGCGCAGGTTATTGATAATTAAATCTTCATCCTGTGTCCATTTCGAATTTCTTCCACTAACATTGGGAGAAAGGCATCTAGTATAACGGGAGAAACAACTACTAGGGGGTTTATTTATTTTATTTCCTATTATTTTCCATCTTATACGGTGTGATGATTTTATATATTCATTAACTAAATTTATTAATTTTTGATCATCTTCACTTGACCACACCTAAAAATTACAAAAAAAACAAATAAATAAAATATAATTTAATTTTAAATTTTTATTTTTATTACTTTTTTTGGCATTTTGTATATTTCTTTTTTTTAGAGTTTTAATATATAAAAATTGTTTAAAATAAATTCTATTTATACCCATTATTTATATGTAATTTAAATTGATTGTCAGTAATTTAATTTTTTTTAATTTTTTTATAATTTTTTATAATTTTTTTTTTATTTCAATTTCTAAAATCTAATTTATAATTTTTTTAAATAAAATAATTTTAAAAATTCACACAGATAAATAAATAAATAAATAAATAAATAAATAAATAAATAAATAAAATTTATTTTAAATTGTTGGTAAAGTTGTAAAGATACCAGCAAGATTTGGATAGGCAGCTTCGAAATCAGCCATAGTTTCAAAATAGGTATCTGCATTAATAGCAGCTTGGAGTGATGATTTAACAGTTGAAACTGATTTACCATGTAAGAAGCCATTGGTATTTAACCAATTAGCCCATTCTTGGGAGGCAGTGCTGATACTACAACTACTGCCACCTGATGCTAATTGACCAGCACAGTAAAGGTGATGAATAACTCTTTCTAATGGAAAAGCAAGATTTAAAATGTAGCCATAGGATGATGTAAAGATGTTTGCATTAACTCTACCGTCAATCATACCCCAAGAGATTCTATTAGCGTCACTGGCAATCCAATTATCAAAGAATTTCATATTTCTACTGGATGAAAGAGTTGGGAACTGACTTGAACTAAAAGTTGATGGAGTAATTACTTTACCAGTAAAGATAAATGGAATGGCCGATGAAACTGCATCAATTGGAGCTAATTTAGTTTGCCATATGGTTTTTGAACTAAACATATCTTGGTAATAGGCATATGGGATCATTCCATAAAGAGAAAAGGTGGATGGTAAGTTGGTTTGTAAATAGCTAACTAATTGGACCTATATAATAAAGAAAATATTAATTAATATTTTTTTTGAAAAAAAGATTATAATCAAGTTTTAAAGTGTATTACTTCAAGATTTTGTTGGGCTGTGGTTGCAACACCTTCGGCATCATCGAAATTTAAAGTATAATAAGCTACACCGGTAGAGTGAATTTGTTGAAGTCTAGCTAATATGGTTGGAAAAGCTGCAGTTTCAAGCCAACCTGGACGAATGCCAACAACAACCTTAACACCTAATGATTGACCTAATGAGGCAACAGTAGTCCATTCACTTAATTGGGTAGCACTCCAAAGAGCCATGGTATTAATAGTTTGTGGGACATACCAATAAACACCAAGATTATATGCAGCTATTGTTTGAATAAGTTGCTTTCTTTGTGTGAATGAATATTCCCCATATTGACCATTAATAGTATCGTCTTGGGTCCAATAAAATCCCTCTACAACTCCAACATTTGGATTAATAACTGCACTTGCAAATTTAATCATTAACAAGAATGTAAAAAATAATTTTAAAATTATTTTCATTTTTTTTTTTTTAATAAATAAATAATCAAATAAATAAATGAATAGATAAATAAATAAATATAAAATGCCTTATCGAAAAAAAAAAAATTGATTTTGGTAACCAAAAAAAAAAAAAAAAAAAAAAAAAAAAAAAAAAAAAAAAAAAAAACCAAATTTGGGTTTTTGGATTTTTTTTTTTTTAAATATAATGATTAAATAAGATATTTTCATACAGATTTTCAAATAATTAGTTTTTTTTAATTGTTGTGCAAATAATAATATTTAAAGTTTATATTTTATTTTCAATATTTAAAAAAAAATAATCATTATTATTATTTATAATAAATAAACATTTTAGATTTTTTATTCTTAACAACTAATAATTTAAATTAAAAATATTATTGGATTAAAAAAGGTTTCATTTATTTTTATTTTTATTTTGTGTTTTTATTATTTCAAGTTTTTTTCAAAGTAAATTTGATTTTTTTTAATCACCAAAAATACTTTTTTTAATAAAAACATTTTTTTTTATTTTTTTTTTTTAATTTGCCAAACGACTTTTTTTGATCTGGTTCACTGGGAACATTTTAATAATTTTATAAATTTTTTCATTTAGTCTATTATTTTCATTTAGTTTATTATTTTAATAAAGATTACAATGTTTATAATTATCTATTTTTTCATTTTTTTATTTTTTAATGTTTTAATGTTTAAAGATATGTTTTCTTTTAAATTAAAAGATTTAAAAAGGTATATATGTTTTGGTAGAATTAAGGAGTGGTCAATTGATTATTCCAGTCCACTAGGTGAATCTTTCCAAAATATCTATATGGCTAATAGATCAAATGGTTTTATATATAATTTTTTAATTCTTTATCTTTATTTATCAAATAAAAAATTACCAAATAAAGATAAATGTACAATAAAAATAATAAATAATAAATTTAATAAAAAAAATCAAAATGAAAATATAGAAAAATTAATTAAAATAAAAGAAAGAGGTATTATTCGATATTATGGATATAGTGAGAGTGGTGGAAAAATATATATATTTATGGAAAGTTTGGAAGGATACAAGTCAATTAATAATTTATTAAAAGAATTAAAGCGTCCATTTAATGAAGAGGAGATTGTTTATATAATTCACAAATTAGTAGATGCTTTGGAAAACCTAAAAAAGTTCAGTATTGTTAATTATAATATAACCTGTGATAACATCTTTTTAAACACAAAAAATGGAGATGTAAAGCTAGATGCAGGTAGTTCAAAGTTTATAAATAGCCAGCAACAATACACCTCAGATACTCAATTATTAAACCAAAATATTAAATCAATTTTAGGTTATTTATTAGTAGAAATATCAGGAGGGCTTCAAAATAAATCAAATATACCATATGAAATTCAAAACTTTATTCAATATTGTTTTTTATTTAGTTCCAGTGAATTAAGTAGAATAAACATTTGTAAAGAGGTAAGCTTTAAAATTTAAAATAATAGTAATAGTAATATAATTTAATATCAAAATACTAATATCTTTAAAGAATCAACTTTTTAGTCATAGTTCTTTTGAAATATTTTATAATAGGTTATGCTCCTCTTTTTTTAAACCAAACTTTTTTAAAAAGGAAATGGAAATAAAAATGGATCTTCCTTTCGAGAATTCTCTTACATTAGAGTTATTTAATGAACCTTTAACACAAAATTTAGTTTCAGAATCAGTTACCTCCCTCAAATTGCCAGTATATAACCAAATGATTCTTCCGAATTCTATTCCATTAAATGTAACATCAATCTCATTACCATCTCACAACCACATCATTATTCCAGAATCTATTCCTTCATCAGTTACATCACTATCATTACCATCATACAACCAAATTATTATTCCAAATTCAATTCCAAAATCAATAAAATCACTTATATTAGAATCATTTAATCAAAATATTATACCCCACTCATTACCTAACTCAATATTCTTACTTTCATTACCATCCTATAATTTACCTCTGGTCTCCAGTTTGAGTACATCATCAATTACATCCCTATCGCTAAAATCATTTAATCAACCTCTTGTACCAAACTCAATTCCATCATCAGTAACGTTCCTCTCATTATCTTCATTTAATCATCCTCTTAAACCAAATGTAATTCCACAATCAGTTAAATATCTAAAACTGTCATCATACAATCAAATCATTACACCTTATTCAATACCATCATCCGTTGAATACCTTGTATTATCATCCTATAACCAACCAATTACACCAAATTCAATTTTAGAAGAAATTATTCCACAAAATACACATACACTGGATCTTGGTTCCTATAAACATGTAGAATCATTATCCAATCTTCCATCATCCATTATAAACCTTTCATTAGATGCAACCGATTGTCTTTTTTCAAACGATGAAATCAAAGCAATCATTCCAAAAACTATCTTTAATATAAATTTAAAAAGAAAATAAAAGATTTAAAATATTGTTAACAATAAATAACATTGAAAGAATAAAATGTTAAATATAGTAATTATTAAAACTATTTAGTTAAAAAAAATTATAATTTTTAAAATTTAAAAATATTAAAAAAAAAAAAATAAAAATTTTAAAAAATTTTTTTTATTTTTTTATTTTTTATGTTTATTCGATTATTCATTCATTTATTTCACGCAATATTAAATAGTAATAATAAAAACAGTCACAATAACAGCTTTGTAATAGTATGCACTTTGAATCAAAATCAAAAGAAAGTTTTTTTAATAAATATGACCTTTATAAAGATGAAATAGAAAAAACTTTTGGTGAAAACCAGCAGCAACAAACCATTACATATTATTCAAAGAATTCCAAATATATAGTTAAAGAGTTTAAACAAGTGGAAGAGGTATTTCTATTTATTAAATGATTCATTTATAACAATTTCACAAATACTAATTTTTTAAATCTATCTACTCTTTATAGTTTACAAAGGAATTAAATTTATCAAATCTAAACAATAAAAATATAATAAAATACTATGACCATAAAATATTTGAAGATAAATCATATTATATTGTTTTAGAAAATATTCAAATAAATAATTGTACAATTTCAGAAAAATTAAAAAAAATTAAAAATTTTAGCGAAAAAGATTTAGTTTTAATTGGGAAACAGTTAATCGATGTTTTACTTTATTTAAATCAAAATAGAATAATACACAGTAGTTTAATAGGTGATAATATAATAATAGATAGTAATAATAATATAACTTTAATAGATTTCGGTAGCTCGATACTATATGACCAAATAGAAAAGGAAAATAAAGAAGAAAAATCCAATAAACAAAAAACAGATATTCATAAATTAGGTGAACTATTATACGAAATGACAGGAAGGGATTATTCAAAAGTATCAAGTGACTGTAAAGATTTTATTAAAGATTGTAAAGACTTTGATTGTAATAAAACACCAACACATGAAATGTTAACAAAATATCCATTTTATAATGTAGGTTAACTCTTATTTAATAATAATGATTAATAATAAATTATTGTTTACTAATTTTTTTTTTTTAAAAAAAAAAATAGATAAAATTTGATATAGAATTGGATCAAAAAGAAAATGAAGATTTAATTAAATTACAAAATGAAAATAAACCAATTGAAGTAGATGCATATGAAGGATTACCAATATTTGAAGAAAATAGAAAATCACTATGGAATCGTTTTTCTAATTGGATATTTGAAAAGAATTTTAACTTGGCATGCTCAACATTAAAAAATGGACCAATTCCAAAACATATAGGCGTAATTATGGATGGAAATAGACGTTTTGCTGAAAGAAATCATTTACAAACTAAGGATGGTCATAAGAAAGGTTTTAATACAATGTTGGAGTTATGTCAGTGGAGTTTAGCATTGGGTGTAAAGATTATTAGTGTATATGCATTTTCAATTGAAAATTTTAAAAGATCAAAATCAGAAGTAGAAGATTTAATGGATTTAGCAAATAAAAAGTTTGAAGAAATGGTTTCAAAATCTCACAAGCTCCAACAATTAGGCGTAAGAATTAGGGTAGTCGGTGATTTTAAACATATTCCAGAAAAAACACAATCAATTTTAGCAAGAGCAGTTAAAGCAACTGAAAACAACAACAAGTAAGTAAACAACTTTTAAAAAAAAAAAAATAAAGACTAATTAATTCCTTCTAATTTGTTATAGAGCATTATTAAATATTTGTTTATCATATACAGCACATGCAGAAATTTTACATTCAATGAAGACTCTTAGCAATGGTGTTAGTGATAATCTAATAGAAAGTGAAGATATTGACCAGGATTTATTTGAAAATTGCTTATATATTAAAGAAGATTTGGATATCTTAATTAGAACATCAGGAGAATATAGATTAAGTGACTTTATGTTATGGCAATCGTGTTTCACTAATTTAGCTTTGGTTGGTATATTGTGGCCAGATTTTTCCTTCCTTCATTTTGTATATGTTATTTTCATCTATCAATTTAACAAGAAAAAACTAAAAAATGAAATTTTTAATCAGCATCAATACAGTAATAATAATCAAAACCAAAACCAAAATAATAGCGATAAACAAAAACAAAGAGTAGAAGAATTTAAAGAATATATTAGACAAATGGAAACTGATATGATTGAAGAAATGAAAAACAAAGGTTAAATTAACAGGATAGTTTTTAATAATAAAGTTTTAAATAATAAAAATAATATTTTTTTATAAAACCATATTATACTTTTTTATTTTCAAGTATAACAAAAATTAAGAAAAATTTTATTACCAAAATTTATTTTCCTGAATATTTAAAAAAAAAAAGCACAAGATTGTTTAATAGAAATTGCATATTCCTTCTTTAAAAATAACCAAACCTTCTAACATTTTTATAAAACTAGAAAATAATATTGTTTTTTAATTATTTTCTTTAAACTGTGGTATAAATTTTAGTTTTTTATATTAATAATCCCAGTTTTTTAAAAATAGTTTTTTTGTGGATATAAAAAGTGTGGTTATTTATTTTTTTTTTTGCTTTTAAGAAAAAATCTTTAGAAAAAAAAAATATTAGTCTATTTATAATTGAGGTTATAAAATGTAATAAAAAAATAAACTATAAATAAATTTTTTTTTTTTTTTTATTATATCAAAACAAATATTTAGAAAAAAAGAAAAGAAAAATGAAATTATTATATGTCTTAATTATTTTAACTATAAATTATTTACTAGTAAAAGGGTATGGGGAATCAGATAAAGATGACTATCCAAATCATTTTGAAAGAGAATCTCACAATTTAATTAATGTAAATATAAAAAACTATTTATTTATAATTTTATAATTTTTATTTATAACAATAATTTTATAAAAAAGCTTGTTAGAATGTTTCCTCAACAATATGTTTATTCATATATGAAGGGATGGGAAAATTTAGGAGTAATGTTTTCTCAGTATAAAGCCACCTTTCCAGTTTATTATGATAATTCGGTTAACCGTATAGCAAGATACCATTCTTATGATATGGGTGCTAATAACTATTTTGGTCATGGTGATAGAAATAGTCAATCAGCTAGTGATCGTATCCAAAGAGCAGTTCCATGTTCAACATATAACTCTGAAAACATTGCAGCTGGTAAATCTACTGGGATCGATACAAATAACCAATTAATTTGTGATGATCCCCAATTCGGAAATTATTGTACTCCAGATGGTAGTGGTCATGATGGCCATAGAAAAAACATTATGAATCCAGATTTAAAACTTATGGGTGTAGGTTATTGGTATGCCTCCAACTCAGCCTATAAATATTATTGGACTCAAGATTTTACTGGATGCACATCTAATTTACCAACAAATCCAATTTACTCTGGCTATCATACTTTTTATAATTCAAATAACCCATTATTTGTTTTAAGTTATTATAGCAATTCTTTATCAACACCTGCTATGTATATTGTATTTGTTAGTGGTTCAGTTGAAAATGTTGTTCCAATGAGAAGAACCTATGGTAATGATAAATTTGCAGTTTACACCTATTCTCCCTCAACACACACTCCATGCGGTAAATACTTTTTTGCTACAACCACTGAAAACCACAAAACCTATAGATACCCAGAAACTGGTTATTTACAAATAGCAAAAGATTTAGATTCTTGTAAATCATGGAGCTATTAAATTAATTGAAATAATTATGTATTTTTATAAAAAAAAAAGAAAATTAAATAAATATAAAAAAAGTTTTAGAAAAAAAGAAAAGATTAAAATACTCTATAAATAATAGCTTTTATTATATTTATCGCTTTTTTTTAATAAATAAATTTTATTTAAAGATTTTAAATTACAATTTATTATTTGTTACAATTATTAGATTATTAAATAAATATATATGTTTCTATGTTTTTTTAAATAATAATTTTTATATATCAAATTATTATTATTCTTTCTACTTTGATTGCCATTCCCATATTTTAATGTTACCATCAAAAGATGTGGAAATAATCTGATTATTGAAAACTAATAAACATTTTACACCAAGACTATGACCTTTTGGAATTGAATATACATTTTCTATATTATTGTAAGAAAAAAAAAAATAAAAAAATTTTTAATTAGTATTTGTATATTGAAAAAATATAATATTTATATATGATAATTACCAAGAGTATCTAAATCCCAAACTTTAATGCTATTATCTTCTGCACCACTGTATAAGTAACGATCCTTTACAACACAAGTAGAAACTGAATTCCAATGACCTTTAAGAGTATCGATACATGAAAAGTTTGAAAGATCCCAAATCTTGATGACATTATCTTTGGATGTAGAATAAAGATAACTTGAACAACAATGTAAAGAAAGAACCCAATCTTCATGGCCTTGCATATTAAAAAGAAGTGATTTTTCTTCAGTGTCCCAAACGAAAATAGTTTGATCATTACCACCACTAAATAAGTAACGACCACTTAATGCTAAAGCTTTAATATATTTGGTATGGACACCTTCAAATGATTTGATTTCTTTAAATGTACCTAAATCCCACATTTTGATTGTTTTATCGTATGAGCAACTGAAAAGATATTTTTCATTTGCAACAATGCAATTAACCTCACCAGTATGACCAATAAGTGTATCAACCAATTTAGAATCTTTACCACGAAGAGCGTGAACTTTGATTGTGTGATCTGGGGATGAAGTGAAAATATAACTACTATTACATGTAATTGATTCAATTGATTTTCTATGGCCAGTTACAGTATGAAGACACTTCCAATTGTCATTAACGTCAAAAATTCTAAATGTACCATCACCATAGCCAGCACATAAAAGTTTTTGATTGTCAAAGAAACAAATAGAATTGACACGTTCACGGAATGATTGAATTGTGCTTATACATTTAAGATCCTTTCTTGAGAAATCAGCTTTTGGTAATGCTTTAGCACCTACTTTAATTGTATTATCACTTGGGGCGAGATCGAAAATGATATCTGGCATTACCATAGTACCTTGTTGAAGTTGTTTTTTATTATTACCGCTTAATACACCACCCAATTTAACATCTAAATCTAAAAGAGCACAAACTGCATTACACTTGTGAGTAGTGATGAATTTATTTATACCAGCTTTACCCAAATTACCTAAACCATAACCTTTACCATCTGGGGTGTGAATTTGTGGATCGGTATAGAGATCATCTACACCTTGAATATCTACGATAATCATTTGTTTATTTGAGAGTTCATATGTAAAGTGAGAGAATGCTTGTGGAGTTGATCTATTTGTAAGTACAGCACCATAATTTGAATTATTTTTTTTAAATTCACCAACCAATAATGGTTCAATTGAACAAAGGACTGGTTGACTATTTCTATCTACTAATTCTACTACCCATGACATTAAAAATTCAATCTTCTTTGGTGGTTTCTTCTGATTAAATTTATGACCCCAATCTCTACAAACCATTTGCATTTTAACATCTTCAAAGTATAATTCTCTTGAGGTTTGTTGTTCTGCTTCTTTTTTATAAAGTTTTAATACAAATTTAGTACCTGATTTCAATTGAGCCATAGCTTCGTTATTCTTTGAAATTGGTGAAATAAAGTCAATTGCTGGGAATGAATGTTTTGGGGGCAATGGATAGTTTTCATCAGTAGTAACACCTAGTGAAACTGTATGATAAGCTTCTCTTAATGCACCTTCTGCAAATGGTTTTCTTTCGACTTTTAACTACAAAAAATATATATATATTAGTATTTAATAATAATAAAAAAATTTTAATTTTAAAAAAAAAATATTTACTTTAATGGCCAATCTAATCCATTTGTTAATAATTGGATCGTATTCCCATAAAACACCATTTTCACCTTCACTTGATAATAATTCCTTATCTAATTTTGGTGAAGATTGTGATGAAGTAATTGGTGGTGAATAATTTGAAGTATTTGAAGTTGAGCTTGATAAAACTGAACGTTTTGATAATAATGGTGATTTTGGAACTGAACCAATTGGTGAAATGGCTTCTTCTCTGAGTACTCTTTCTACCTGTTCATTACCTTCTTGAATTTCAGCTTCAATTTTCTTTTGATTTTGTTCTAATCTTCTTACTGACTCTTGAAGTTTATTTCTCTCTGTTTCTCTTTCCTTTTCACGGTCAACAAATTCGTTATATTTCTTTAAATTATTTTGCATTAATAATAAAAGTGAATCACTCTTTTTGAGATCTTCCTCAACCTGTTTAATTTTGCCATCTTGTTTATCGAATTGATTTTTACAATCTTTTTCAAGACTTTCAATTTCACCACGATTATCTTTGATACCTCTGGAGAGTGATGATAATTCTGAACGAGTAGATTCAATTTCTTCTCTGAGCTTTTTATTAAGTTTTTCTTCGACCTTTTTAACTTCTTCCATTACCTCATTCTTGTTGATATTATTAGCGGATGCACTAGATGAAATGTACATTGATGAAGATGAAGCTGGCAATGAACTTTTATTTCCACTCTCTAATTTTAATTTTCTTATCTCTGAAGAGCTATCCAATTGTTGAGTTTCAATAATTTTGATTTTTTCTTTAACTTGATCGACTTTAGCTTCAAGAAGAGTGTGTTGTTCGAGTTTTTTCTTATCTTTTTCTTCGACTTTTTTAAGTACTTGACTTTCAACACTAAATGTAATGAAATCTGTTTTCTTGGCAACTGTTTCTTCGATGGCACTATTAAGTTGACGCTTATCAATCTTTTGTAAAACTTCACCCTCAATTCTATTAATCTTTGTATCGATAGAGCTGTTGGTACGTTCTAATTTTTGTAAAAATTCTTCGGAGAGTTCAGAGATATCCTTCTTTAATTTACTCGATAACGAATTGATTTCAGTTTCCAATTGTTGCTTAATTGATGAAACATTATTGACACTTGCCCCATCAAATGAATCATCGCCTGAAATCATACCCTTAACCAATGGTGATGATATTTTCTTTTCTTGAATTTGTTGTGTTATAAGTCTTTTAGCTAGTTGTTGTTGTTGTTGTTCGACTTTTTTGGCGAATGTCATACACTTTTCTACACCCTCATCCAATTTTGATTGAAAACTAGCACCTAAACTATCGGTATGGTTACGTACTACCTTCATTGTTTTATCTAATTGATCTTCCATTTGTTCTGTAAAATGTGCCATCAATTGAGTATGAAGATCAAATTGGTGATCAAACTTCTCTACTACTAACTGTAAATGAAATTGTGCATCGTCTTTAAGATGATTATCAAATTCGGCCTTTGATACTAAAAATGCGCTACAACCAAACTTTTTAAATGGACATTGACGGGAAACAAAATTTGGGTGGGATGGTTGGACCAACGGTGACTGTAATGTTCCTGATAATGGTGATGATGATGGACTAGTTGTACCAACAATACTATCTTTTCTTTTCTTTATATTAAACATCATTTCTTCAATAGTAAGTTTTTTTTTTGGATTAGTATTAAAATAATTATCAACCGAGTCTTCTTCCTCTACTAATGATTTTTGTTGATTTTGATTATCCTCTTTGGATAATTCTTGTTGTGCTTGCTGTTGTTGTGGTTGTTGTGGTTGTTGTGATTGTTGTGATTTAGATTTTAAAACCCTATAAAAACCAAAACAAACTAATGGAACAATAACAAAATAATATAAATTTTGTATTAAAGGGTTTTCAAAACTAATCATAAAAGATAGTTATATGTTTTTTTAAAAAAAAAAAAAAAAAAAAAAAAAAAAAAAAAAAAAAAAAAAAAAAAAAATTAAAAAAATTAAAAAAATACAAATAATTAAAAATAGTGAGTGATACAGATGGGGTAATTAATTACGACAAACAAATACAGAAAAAAATATATATTACTCCTTTAATTGTATTAATGTAATTTATATCTTTAAAAATATAAAAATACACACACAAATGATAATAGTGCAATAATTATATGCTATAATACCACACAAAGTGAAAAAAAAATAATAAAGAAAATAGAAAAAAATATATTAAATAAAAAAATTTTTACACACTTTATAACACACTAATTACACAAAATTAATTGAAAAAAATAGGTGATAGGAGAGATTAAGGATTGTGGGTAAATTAAATATTAAATAAATATGACTGTTTATATTTGATTTTTATATTTCTTTTTTTTTTTTTTTTTTAAATAACAATTAAATTATTTAATAGGGGTGTTGGTGATGATTGTTGGATATGAAAAAAAAAAAAAAAAATAACAAAAAAAATAAATAATAAAAAATTTTAATTTTTACAAAATATATAGTAGCTACAATATGTAATAATAAAACTTTACTATTATTATAAATTTTATATTATTTATAAATTTTTTTTTTATTTCTAATGAAAATAAAATATAAAAAAAAAACTTTTTTTTTTTTTTTTTTGCAAAAATAGCTAGACAAAAAAAATAAAAAAAATAAAAATAAATTTTTTAAAAAAATAATATGAAAGTTTTATTTTTGTTTGATTGTTATAACCAACACATTAAAGTTTGAAAAAAAAAAAAATTATAATAAAAAAGTTATTGATCAAAACATTAATGATGTTTTTTAAGTGTACATGTGAATTTTATGAGTCTATTTTGAGTGTGTTAGAGTGGGTGTTATTGTTATTTTTATATAAGAAAAGTAATATACTAGTGTGGGTGATAGTGGGTGTAGGTGTGTGATAGAAATGTAAGTGTACAATTAGAGTGTTAAGTGTTGAGTGTTAGTGAGATAATAATAATAAAACATAACAAATAAAACTGAGATGGGTTTGAAAGTGTGTGACATGAGATTAATAAAGAATTAAGAAAACTATTTTTTTTTTTTTCTAATGTTTTTTCTAATGTTTTTTTTAAGTTTTTTTTAAGTTTTTTTTAAAAAAACGTAGTATTAGGAAGTAAAACAATCTAATTATCTATATTTAAAATTTATAACATCTTTACAACTACAACTCCAACAACAACTTTTTTCTTATTATTTTATTATTATTGTCTTTTTTTTCTTGTTTTTTATTTTTATTGCAAAATTATTATAATATGATAATAACAATAACACATTATAATGAGAAATGAGATTTGATTTGTTTATTATAGTTTATTTGTTTATTTTTAGTGATTTTTTCTTTTTTATTATTGTTTCTTTATTTGTAACTTACTTTATATTTACAATCCAATTAAGGATATATACATATATCAATAATTAATATAGTATATAACTTTTATATATACAACAGAAGTTCTTTATTGATTATATTTATTTATAATTATAAACAAAAATAATTATTACTGTTTTTTTTATTTTTTATTTTTTTTTTGATTAAAGATTAAAAAGAAATATTATAGATTTTAAAAAATTTAATAAATCATAGATAAAATTTTTCTATGTTTTTTTTTTATTTATATATTTTTGATCTTAATCAAATTTATTTTAAAAATAAAACAAAACAAAACAAAATTATTATTGTTTAAAATTATTATGATTATTGTTTAAAATTATAATTATTATTTTGTAATAAAAATTTTTTTAAATTTTTTGAAAAAAAATAAATATTTTTTTAAAAATTGTTTTTTTTATTTTTTTTTTATTTTTTTATTTTTTATTTTTTTTCTTTTTTTTCTGAATCTAAACTGAAATGGGTGGTTACCGATGAACCCCCCATTTTGTTTTTTTTTTATTGATTTTTTTTTAAGTTTTATTTTTATCGACCGAAAGGCATATGGTTAATAATTAAACACCACATTCAGATAAAAAGAGAAAAATATAAAATTAAATTTACAAATTAAATGAAAATATTGTTTTTAATATAATACCACGGGGGTAGGACATAATTTTTAAACCATTTATTCCTATAATTTTCGATATTAATACTTAATATTCTTTAAGTATTATTTAAAAAATATTCATTTTGGTATTATGTTGGTTTAAGATATTTTTTTTATTAAAAATTGTAAATTAATTAATTTAAAAAATGTAATAAATTATTAATTATTTAATAGTATAATTATTTTCTACAAATTATAGAATATTCAAATAGATGGGTGGTGCCACTTGAATAATTTGAAATTTCACATAAAATATCATATCATTATATGGTTTATTTTAAATTTTCAATAAAAAAAAAAAAAATAATAAAAAAAGTAATAATTGAAAAAAACAATAAGGCATCTTGGAATTTGTGTTATCTTAAAGTTTTATTTATTTATTTGTTTATTTAAGGTTGAGAGTTATCTATTCATTTTGGTTTATTTAATGAGCTGGTGGTTTAGTTTCTTTAATAATTGCACCATTTTGATTGCTTAATATTAATATTGATAATTTAGATACATCTGAAATATCAGATGAGCTAACAGTTGCATAATCAAAGTAACCTGCAATATCTGTATAACCATCCTTCCAAAATTCGACCTTATCATTTTTGGTTTTGGAGTAAACCTTGATATAAGCTTTAGAAACTGGCTTCTTGTTTTGTTTTTGGACTACTCTAAGTTGACCTGTTTTTTCTGTAATGTAAACTGATAAATTATTTGAGAAAACATTAATGTTGTGGTGAACTTGAGAAGCAACAACGTTAACAACTACATTGCTATTATTGAATTCTTCTGGTATCTTGAATTGGAATGAACCAGATTTATCTTTAAGAAGGAATGATTCTTTTTTATTTGGAGTGACATAAAGGAATTGACCCAATTTTTGTTGAACAAATGGATTGGTAGAGAAGAGATGTTCAATATCCATAACATAGTAGCTAACGGTGATATCTTTTAAGTTATGATAGCTAACAGAGATAGTTCTATCGGCTTCTTGGCTTAAATCAAAGGTTGGTTCATTTGAGCTCATCTTGTTTAATCTTCTTTCTCTATCAATTTCATTTTCATAGTCGATTTCGATTGAGTCTTTATTTGAAACTTGATCTACTTTATTCTTCAAGTCTTTAAAGAGAGAATTCCATCTTTGGACTGGGTAGTTTTCGTATTTCTTACTGTTTTCAGAGGCTACTTTTGGATTTGAGTTAAAGAAATCTAAATAGGAAATTAAATAGTCATATTGAATTGACATTTCTGGTAAACATAATGGGTGGTTAAATTCTGAAACATCAACATATTCTTCTTCATCATCTTCGTGATCACTATCATCATGATGATGTTCACTAATTGGTTTAATATCTGCGACATCGGATGTGGTAGTGGTGGTGGTAGTGGAGGTAGTTTGTTGAGTTTCTGATGAGGTGGTATTATCAGTTGTAGTGCTTTCAACAGATGGTGAGGTGGGTTCTGAGCCACCTTTCTTCTTTAATTTCTTTTCCTCTTCTTTCTTTTTCTTTTCTTCTTTTTCTTTTCTCTTGGCTTCTTCTTTTTCTCTCTTTTTATCTTCTTTTTCTTTTTGCTTTCTTTCTTTTTCTCTTTCTTTTTCTTTTTGTTTTTCTTCCTTTTCTCTTTGTTTATCTTCTTTTTCTTTCTTTTTCTTTTCTTCAGATGAAAGAGCTGAGGTTGGTTCCGATTTGGTTTGGGTAGCACCAGTATTATTAATAATATTGTTGTTATCGCTTGAAAGATTTTCTAAAATCTTTGGATTGGCTGAATCATGAACACCTACTCTCTTCATAATATTAATGGATTCTTCAAATCTATCTTGAAGTAATAAATAATAAGCAAGGGAGAGTAATTCAGTATCGGTTGGATGTAATTTATAAGAAAGAACTTTTAAGAATTGATAGTATTGATTTGAAAGTTTGTTATTGAGAATCTTTCTTTCTTCACCAATTTTATGGGTTCTTGAATTGACCAATGGACTGTATTCAAGGAATTTGACATTGTTTTCGAATGGATTGACATAGACAAGTGGAGCATCAATTGATGAACTTCTGAGGTCATTTGAGTGTTCAGAGAGGAAATCTTTGATGTAGTTTGAATCTTTGTGATAAATTGAGAAGCTCCAAGTGGTAGAATCGTAAAATTTCAATCTCTTTAAGAGTTCAATGACCTTGATCCAAATCTTCTTATCTGTGAAACGATGGTAGAGATGGTGGAACTCGACACGATGAAGGTTTTCTTTTTCTAAATATTCTAAAATTGAATCTAAGGTACCATGATTAGCAATGTATTCCCATGACATTTGATTGATAATAGTCTTTTTAAGAACAACATCAAAAACAAATGGTGTGACACTTGCGATAATGTTTTGTTTTTCGCTTATGTGGGCTGGGAAGTGGACATAACTGCCTGGAGCTGGGAAATAGAAAGAATATTCGAGACGATTATTTGAGTATGGTAAAAGATCGATTGAGAAATCACGAGTGACAAATGGTGATTCACCTACTGCAATAGCACCTTTTGGAATTTGTAAAAGAACATCTAGTTTCTTTTGTTTTGATGAAAGATTAGCAACAATAACTGTAGCACTATAAACTTTAGATACTAAAAATTGGTCTGTAATATAGACTTCTTCAGTCTCACCATCTTTATAGGTAAATTGGTCATTTGGATCGAAAAAGTGTTGAGTAATTAAAATATCTTGTGATTTTTTAGCGATTTCACCAGATACCAATTCTTGATGGAAAACAATAATTGGTGTAGATGGTTTCATAATGAGTTTACCATCTTTTGGTCTGACTTGGGTGGTATTATCTTTAACAGTGAATGGGAGATCTAAAACTGATAAAGCCATCATTGATTCTGCGAATGATGAACAAGTAAAAGCAATGTATTTGCTGACAAATGGTGTGTTGTCTTTCTTTTCTGCTACATAGCTAGCATAATCATACCAAAAGTTGTTAATTGGAATAAGAGAAGAACGTAAGTTAAGTTCTTTGTAGTAGTTGGTTTCAGCTAATTCTTGAGTCTTTTCAATTTGTTGATACATTTGTGGAGCTTCATAGGCACGAGTAATTGGAGCTGGATGTGGTAATATTGAAGCTGGGGCTCTAGCAGCCATTCTCATCATTCCAGCAGGTGCTGGTGCTGGTGCAGCCATTGAATTTACAGCAAAACTGGGTGGTGGTGGTGCAGGCATTGAACATGTAGTGGCAGCACCAAACATCATTGGAGCAGCCTTCTCTGATACCATATTTTTTTTTTGCTTATAATCTCCACGAATATCAGCTAACATAGCTTGTGGTTCATCCATTCCACCATCATCATCACCACGTTCTTCTTCACCACTTCCACCTTCAATATCGGTATCTAATTGATTTAGTGCAACTTTGAAATTTTTATCATATTGAGCTGGAGTAATTGGAGATACTTCAACTTTTTGCTTGAATGAATTTGCAATGACACTTGAATGCTCTGGGAATAACTCGCCTAACAAAATCTTTTCTAAACTGTTTAATTTATTAAATCTGAAAGAGTCCAAAATATAAATTTCTAATTTCTTTTTATCTTTAACTAAATAATAATCGATGAATGTCTTGTAGCCTTTAGTTTGAACGAATGGTAAAACAACTTGATTAAAGAATTCTTTATCTTTTTTGTAAATGAAAAAGTTTAATTCGTGACAGGTGTACTTTGAGAATTTTTCTTTCTTTTTATCAAATGATAATGATTCCCATTCTGAAATAAATGAAAAATCTTGAAGATGGCTGCTATTGATGGTTTTCATTAAGGAGAGAACTTTATCCAATGTATCATAGGTAGTATACTTTGATGAGTCAACATTATTGATGGTGAATGTTTGATTTGGACAAACTGGTGTAATTAATTTCTCTTCCTTATAGTGAAGATTTGGATCGAGTGATCTTATTAATTTAGTTTCCTTGAATTTAGCTTGGTGTTGTTCAAGTAATACATCTTTAGAGAAAACTGATTCATTGTCAACTGCTACAATTTGAACTGAACTACCAGCTTCGAGGAGTTGTGAAAGTTCAACGGAAATTTGACCTTTATCGTTTGGTAATAAATTATTTATAACAATAGTTGGATATCCTAAAAATTCTAAGAATGGTGATTTAGGAATATGAGTTGAAACTTTTTTTAATTGTGAATGTGTATCACGAGCTCTTCTTGATTCTCTTTCGGCCATACCATAGCTTGATGAGGAGTTTAAAGAATTATTTGATTGGGTAGTTTTGCTGATAGCCCATGGTTGAACTAAAATTGATGGTTTCTTTAATGAATTACCTGGTAATTGTTTTTTTGATGACTTACGATTGATAATATAGCTAATTTCATCACCTAAAGATCTTCCATTAAAGTATTGTGATTTTGGTTTAACACTATACTCATCATAGGTCATGCTTGAATTTTTTAATGATAAAAGATCGGCCATATCTTGATTTGGTGTGAAATAGGTAGAAATAACATGAACTCTAGTATCTGCGGTGTAGTTCTTTAAGTTAATTAAAAGATGTTGTTTGTCGACACTAGTTTCAAAGTGTAAACCATTGGTTGGTCTGTATGATAAGATTCTTGATGGACCAACAATATAACCCTCCTTAATTTGACCATCACAAACATCAATGATAATTTCTTGGGTATCATTGGATTGAATTGAACCAGAAACTATTAAAACATATCTACCAGCACTTAATTGACTTAAAACAATTTCATCCTTCTCGATAGAGAGAGATTTAAAGCAATCGTGAATGACAACATTTTGACCATTTCTACCATTGAGTTCAAAAAGATTAAGCTCGGCCCTTGATGGTGATTTTTCGGTACCCAAGTATGGGAGGGTAACTTTGTCGCCCAATTTACAATTGATTTTTGATGGATAGGTGAAGTTTTGAGCTTTGCTTATGGTAAATTCAAAAGTTCTTGAACCATAGATTATGAATGATTTGACATCATCTAAATGTCCCAAATGAATGAAACCATCCTTATCAGTTTTCAATTGAACATTGACTCTTTCGTTAGTTGAAACCCAATGAGTAAATTCAAAGCTGAATGATAAGTTGGATAATGGTTCACCACCTTTTCCTAAATGTTGAAGTCTATAACCTTCCTCTTTAGTATTTTGGAGATAGAATTCAGATATTTCTTTTCCATGAATTTGATTTACAGTAAATGTTTTTTCAAACGAAACATCTTGAGAAGAGTTATTCTTGCTAAGATTTCTAACTTTGGCTTGGAAACGAACAACTAATGTTTGAAGGTTTTCTTGAACTCTATAGATGTAAACAGATTCTTGATTATCTTGAACAGTGAATGGTTTAACTTCTTTTGAATTGGTAATTGGTGATGATGAATTATCGGTACTAAAAATAGTTAAAGAGGTTTCTTCTAAATATTTGTTTGAAATTTGAGTATCGCCCAAAAATAATTTAGCACGAACAACAATTGGAGCTTTTTCACCTTGGAGTAATGAACCATTTTCAACAAAAATACCACCAACAAGTTGATAAGTTTCGGCTTGATGTTTAAAATTTTTTAAAGTTGCAAATTCTTGGGCTATAATAATTAAATCCTTGTTGCTAGTGGTTGAAGAAAATGGAATTTTAATATCACCATCGTCGTTACTATTATAGGTATTTCCGTCAATGTAGACTGAACATTTGAGAACCTTGACAGAGTCTTCATCCAAAACTTTAATTAACTGGCATGTTGGTGTAACCTCGGTAATAAAATGGAGATCACCTTTATAGATCATAGCACGACTGCTTTTACCATTTCCAATGAATTCAATAACGAAAACACCTCTTTTGCCTTTTAATGTTGGGAAGTCATACTTTCTTTCTACTTTTTGAATTGGTAAACAATCTGGATATTCAAACTGTAACTCTTCGCTTGCGATCAAACCATCTAAATTAATATTTGAGTCGATTTGCTTTAATTCACTCTTGTAATAATTGAATGTTGAAATTTCGAATACTTTAACCAAAAGATTTGGAACGTTTTTAATTGAACATTCGAGTGATACTTCGTCATCTGGGTGATAGTATGATTTATTATTTGGTAAAAATTCAATATCTACACGGTCTCTAATAGTTTGGACTTTAGAATGATTATCAATCATTTGAATCCATTTCTCTGGTTGATCCTTCATTGATACTAATTTGCTTTCTGCTAATAATGATTCCAAATAGGATGGTTTAAACCAATCACTGTATGGCTTGATTGTTGATTCTTCGATAAATAATTTTTTTAATAAAAATGAAATCTAAATAAAATTTAAAATAAAAAAAAAAATTATATTAGTATTAATATATATAATAAAAAATATAGCGAATGAATATATGTAACTTACCAATTTTTCATCATCATCTTGACTAACACCCTTAAGATTTGAACTAAAGCTTTCATTGAATCTGATCAATTGGCTGGTAATCTTGCTGTCGGTTCTATCAACACTAGTATAATAATGGGTATCTCTTGGTAAAGAAAAATATTTATTAATTGAAGCTTTATCATAAATATTTTGAGTGAGTTGGAACTTAATGAAATGATAGTAGATTAATAATTTGTAAGAATTAAAAGTGCTTGGAAGAGTATTAACAAATTTGGTGGCAGATTGATAAAATTCTTCTTGACCAGCTTTTAAGGTTTCCCAATCATGAAGGTCATAGTTTGGTAATAATTTTTCTAAGTAGAGCTTGATGTATGTATGGTCGACATATGATGGGAACTTTTCAATAATTTTGTCCATTTGTTCTAATGTTAAGTTGTTATGAATATTTAAACTACCAAATGTTGGGTATTGAGCGATTTTACTTTCAAGCATACCAATAATTTTATCCCCATTAACTGGGTATTTTAATTTTGAAATAATAGATTGTTCCTAAAATAAAACAAATTAAAGAAAAATAAATTAGTAAACTATTGGTTTTTTAATTAATTAATAATTTATATTTTATAAATACATACCAATTCTGCTGGTAAATTTGAAAAATTATTTAAAATATAATCAAATGTATTGGGGTTAATGTAGTCTGCTATGTATTTACTATGTGGGATTCTAGAAATAAGGTCATTGACGATTTTCTTTCTATCAACCAAATTTTTATCGAGAGTGTTTGAAATATGGTCATTTGAGCTATCTTGATCAGATGTTTCTAAAGATTGGCTGTGGGTTTGGGAGTAACTAAAATGTAAATAGAAAATGTTTTTTAATTCCTCGAACATATCAATTGTTGAACTTAATGGAGATGGTTTGATATTGCTCTCTGTAAAAGATAAAATCTTTTGTCTTAAATCTAACTCTTGGTATCTTTGGTCTGGAGCATTTTTAATATCACCTATCCATGCCTTCATTAACTGGGCAAATTTATCTTTGTTGGTTTGCTCGCTTAAACTTGGATCTGAATTAAGTACATGCAATACATTATAATAATAATAATGTGGACTACCTGGAATTAATGTCTTTAGTACTTTTTCCTTTTCATCTCTGTCACTGGCTAAAACATATAACTCTTCGAATTTATTTTCGCTGCTAACTGTCATCTTGTTTTAGTTTTGGTGTTGTTGTTTTGTTTTAATTTTATTGTGTTTTTAATATATTATTTTTTGTTATTTTAGATTTTTTTGAATTAATAAATATTTGCAATAATAAATTATAAAAAAATTGAAAAAAAAAAAACAGAATAAAAATTTATAAATTATTTCAAATTATAATAAAACCAATTTAAATTAATAATATCTTTTATTAATAAAAAAAAAAAAGGATATGATATTAATTTTGAAAAAAAAAATTTTGTTGATTGCACAACCCAATTTATATTTTTTTTTTGACTCAAAAAAAATTAAATAAAAAAACAAAAAAAACAAATTTTTTATTTTTTTTTTTTTTTTTTAGAAAATGCTTCAGAGAAACGTAGGCACCAATAGAAGGGTGATATTTTAATATGCATATGTGTTTAATAAATATAATACTCTATCTTTTTTCTCAAATTAGCTCTAAATTAAATAAAAATAAAGAAATATTAAAATAATAATTCAGGTTTATGATAATTATTTTTTCGTTAAATTATTTTTCAAAATAAAATAAATCTTCCTTTTTCATTTTTTTATTTTTATTTTAATTTTATAATATATATATATAATTATGTTTTTTTTATTTTGACCATATCCAACATCAAAATAGTATTAATCAAATTCATAAATGTCAACCCAGGGTTTTTTATTTGATATCAAATAAAAGAAATTTAATTTAAATTTTAAAAAAAAAAATAAAAAAAAAATAAAAAATTTTTTTAAAATTTTTTTAAAATTTTTATTTTAATTAAACAAAAATTTCTTTTTTTTATTTTTATACCCGTTTGACTACAAACATAAAACATAAATAAACATAAAATGAGATTTCTCATTGCTTTAGATGGTTCAGCTGGTGCTCATAAAGTAGTTATTAAAATTTATAGTTAAAATATAATAAAAAATTCACAAACACAACTTTTAGACTTTATATCTTGAAATTTCTATAAAAACTATTGATATTAACCGATTTATTTTAAAATAGGCTTTTATTAGAGCAGTTTCATTATATAAAGATACAGACACTATTGTAGCAGTAGTTGTAATGGATATGATGCATTTTGTTATGAGCAATCAAAAATCCGATATGACCTTAATTTCAAATATGAAGGAAGAAATGTTAAAAAATGGTCAAGAGTTAATTAAAAAATACGAAGATTTAGCTAAAAACGATTATTGTGTAAATATTATTTATTTATTTATATTTTAAATATTCAAATTATTAATGTTTTATTTTTGTAATTTCAGATCGAAAATTTTGAAGGTATTTGTGTCGAAGGTAATCCAAGAGATGTTATTGTAAAAACAGTCGAGGATAAAAGTATTGATATTTTATGTCTTGGCCGTGTTGGTTTATTAAATACTGAAAAGTAAGTATAATAATTTAAAAAATAATAGTAATTTAAATACTAATTATTATCTTTTTTAAAATAGTATAACAATGGGATCAACATCAAACTATTGTATTAGAAATTGTAAATGTGATGTTTTAGTTTGCAGATAATAAAAATAATAATAATAATAATAGCCACAAAAAAAAAAACAATTAAAATAAAATGTATTTTTCAAATAAAATTTATGATTTTTTTTTCAATCAACAATTTTTTAGTTATCAACAAAATATCTTTTTTCTATTTTTTTTCTATTTTTTTTTTTTTTTTTATTTCAAAATTAAAAATTTTATTTATTACAAAATTAAAAAAAAAAACATACAGAATCAAATCAAATAATGGAGCCAGTTATATCAACAACAAAAGTAGAGTTAAGATTTAGATGCAAGAATTTAAAAAATTCAGATACATTTTCAAAGAATGATGCACGTATTTATATGTTTTTAAAGAATAAGACTTCAGATTGGGTTTTTTTTGGTAAAACTGAAACAGTTAAAAACAACAATTCTCCAGAGTTCTCAACTAAATTCACAGTAGAGTACCATTTTGAAGAAATACAAAAGCTTCAATTTGTCGTTATAGATATCGATAAAGAAATAAAGTTATTAAAAGATTTAGACAAATCTGATGAAATTGGGGACTATGAAACAACTTTAAGCAATATATTATCTCGTCCAGGAAGAATCAGCATAGGCAAATTAAATAAAAATGGAGAAGAAACTGGTACCATTGAAATTACAGCAGAGGAAATTTATCAAACAAAACAAAATATAATTTTACAATTAGAAGGTAAAAACCTAGATAAGAAGGATACATTTGGAAAATCTGACCCATTCTTTAGACTTTATAAAGCAGGTGCTACCAGTGGTCCACTTATTGTTTATGAAAGTGAAGTTATTAAAAATGTGTGCATTAAAATTACTTTTATTTTTATTTTTTTTTAAATAATTTCTAATTTATTTTATTTTATTAAAAGACATTAGATCCAACATTCAAACGTATGAATTTTAGATTAGAGGAGGTTTGTGGTGGTGATTTCTTTAGAGAGTTAACATTCGAATTTTATGACTGGGACAAACATTCAAAACCAGATTTAATTGGTACTTTTAGAACAAATTTAGATGAAATTCTTAGAGGCAAACTTGAATTCGAACTTATAAATCCAAAAAAGATCGAAAAGAAAGATTATAAGAATTCCGGTACTATTAAATTCTTTGATGCAAGATTATGCTCATCGCCAACATTTTTAGACTATATCAATGGTGGCTGTCAACTTAATTTAATTGTTGCCATTGACTGTACAATGTCAAATAAAGAGCCACACGAAATAACTTCATTACACCATGGCTGTGAAGAATTCCCAACACAATATGGTAAAGCAATTTCAGCAGTTGGTGGTTTATTATCCTCATATGATACTGATGGTATGATTGATGTTGTAAGTATTAAATAATTTATTAATTTAAATATTAAAATGTATTAACTTAATCTATTTTTTACTATTTTTTATAGATTGGTTTTGGGGCCGATATTAAATCAATTCTTCCACATGCACATGAAGATTGTTTCCCATTTAGTTTAAGAGAGGATTCAGAGGTATATGGTGTTCAAGGTGTATTAAAGCTTTATTATGAAAACATAAAGAAAATTAAATTATATGGTCCAACCCATTTCGAAAAAATTATTGAATATGCACAAAAGAAATCATCCAAAGGCTTTAGTCAAGATAAGCAACACTACACAATTCTTTTGATTCTTACCGATGGTGAAATATTTGATATGGATAAAACAATTAACGAACTAATTAAATCATCAAAAGAATCACCATTATCAGTAGTTATTGTTGGTTTGGGTAATGAAAACTTTGAAAACATGAAAAAATTAAATGGAGAGTATGGAAAACTCAAGTCCCAAGGAAAAGAGGCCTCAAGAGATATGTAAGTAAAAATAAACCATTTTTTTTGTTTTTATAAAATCACTAATTTTATATTATTTAATAATCAAAAGAGTCAGTTTTGTACAATTCAATTTATATAAAGATAATCCAGAGTTAATTTGTCATGCCACCCTCAAAGATTTCCCATCCCAATTTTTATCTTTCTTTGAAAGTAAAAACATCATACCAAACCCACCAAGACAATTTATTCCTTTAAATTAATTTATAGGAAAGTAAATTAATTTTGTATTTATCATTATTATGTTATATTTTATGTTTTGTGTTTTAATATAAATAAATTTTATAGTATAAAAATTTTTTTAATTATACATTATTCATTCCCAATATAATTTTTTTTAATTTTTAAGGAAAGATAAGATCTCCTTTATAATTATATGAAAATGATATCATGATTTAGTTGATATTTTGAAAAAAAAAAAATTTTGCATATTTATCAAAAAAAACTTTTTATATTTCAAAGTGTTTTTGAATTTATGTGGAAAAAAGTGATTGGTTGAAAAAAAATATCTATCTTTTTTTTTTTAAAAATATTTAAAATAAAATAAATTTATATTAATTTTTATTTTTAAAAAATACAATCTATATTTCATTTTTAATTTATTTTCTATCAAACCATTTGTTATATTACATCTCTGTATTTTTTTTATATATATTTTTCTTATGCTTAAAATGTTTAAACCAAGAAATGTTAATACTGATAGCGTGGGTGGCCCTAAAAATGGTAAATTTATTTTAAATCAACCTATAATTATATACATATAAATATAGAGTATAATATATTAACTCCTTACAATATATAATCTTTTTAAAGGTTCATCTTCCTATCCTAGACCAAAACCAATATTCCAAAAAAATAGCCAGTGCTTTTGAAAATTATAAACACTATTTTTTCTAACAATTAATAAAAAAGTTTTTTTTATGCATATAAATAGAAAAAAACATACAGATAGATTTTTTTTTATTTCTTTACAAAAAAAATAAAAAAAATAAATTAAAATTTCACATTTATGTTTAATTACAACAAAATAATTGTTTTATTATAAAAAAAACAAAACTATTATTAAAATTAATAAAAAAATAAGATAACATTATTTATAAAAAAGTTTTAATTTGATACTATTAATGAGAATATTCGAAATTATTTTTTATATATAATCTTAAATTGGAAAGGATTTTTTTTTTAATTTATTTTAAAAATTATGATTTTTTTAAATTGGGTGTATTTTAAATTTCCACCATCTAATAATATCACACACACACACACTAACATACAAAGACACACACACACACGCACCCATTCTCTAAAAAACTCACACCACACATAGATACAACTAATACATACATACACAACCCACACATTGAAAAACAACCACAACTCACCATAATTACATAAAACCCTCACTCTAACATTTACATATAACACACACTTTTAATAAAAAAAAATTTTATTTTTTTTTATTTTTAAAATTTTTAAAATAAATTAATAATTTAAATTAATAATATTAATTTTAAAATTTAAAAATAAACAATTGTTTCAATAAAATAACAGCAACCATAACAATTATAATAAAAAAATTAGTAATTAATATAATAACAATAATAAATAGGAAAGAAAATAAATAGAAATAATAGAAAATAATAATAAAAATAATAATACAAATAATAACATTATAATTAATTAAAAACAACAATATTGTCTATAGAATTAAAAAACAAATACTATATAAAATAACAACAACAACAAAAGTAATAAATCTAAAAACGACAAATCAAATATGATAAACGAAAATAGTTTAGTAGATATTTTCGCATATTACACTAAAATAAATTATAGTCCCTATGAAATTGATGGTGAATATAAATTTGTGGAGACATTAAACTTTTACAATAATAAATATACAATAGATAGGAACAACCTAATTAAAAAAATATTAGAAGATTTAAAATCAATTATCAACCAAAACCCAACAATTTCGAATAATAGAACACCACAAACCCACAAATACTATGAATTTAATAACTATAAACTAATAACTAAATATAGCTACACAGATATAAACTCAATATCAGATTCAATAATACCATATGATGAAGCAATTTCATTTTTTGAAAACAATATAAAATCTAATAACGAAATAATTAGATTAATTTCAATTTTAGAATTTTTTCAATACTTTATGAACAAGCATCACCGAAATCAAATAGAGTTCTATAGATTTTTAACAAAGGTTTTTTATGACCCATCACCATATATACCTACTACACTAAATTTTTTTAAATCAAGATTTATAAATTATAATTTTATTTTAATTTCATATATATTTAACAATATAGAAATGGTAATTTAAAATTTAATAATATTATATTCATTTAAAAACATATATAGTAACACTTTTCTTTTAAACAGTGCGATTGGTTATTTAATTGTTGCAAAGATGAAGACATTAATAAAAGAATAGATTCATTGATTAACCCCCGAGATATTTTAATAAATATAGATTCATTAGCAAGTTTTATTTCAAAAAAATGTATTCCAATATCAAACAATCAAATTAAATTTTTAGACAAAATAAAGAATCATTTAAACACTTTTTTAATAGACAAAACATTTTATTATAAAATAAATGATATTATAAATAATCAACATAGAAAAATTAATAAAAACAATTCTGGTAGTAATAATGAGATAATAAGCAATAATAATGTATTTTATATTTATAAGCTAAAGGACTCGATAATAACCAATATAATAGATAAATTAATAAATATCAATTTATGCAATATAAATGATATAATAATATCTTTAGCTTTGGTATCAAAAAAATTTTTTAACCTCCTCAAAGACTATATAAGAAACTTTAATTGGAATAGAGAAAATATCTCCACAATAATTAAAAGTCATTTTAATGGTGATTCAAAATTTTGTTTATTAGAAGACTCAATAATTGTGAACAACTATATATATTATGAAACTATTATAGCAACTACGCCATATGAAAAAATTAACAAAGTATTCTCTTCATTAGAGTCCATTTCAATCAACTATTCATTATTTACCTCACCAACATGTTCAAAATATGGTATTCAATATGATTTTTTAGATAATAGCTTTTTTATCCACCCACCATCCACTGGAATGAAAAGCTTAAAATCAATAGAAGTTATTGGAAATGTAGAGGATTACATTCAACCAAATACACATGAACTTTATCAAAGTAGAAATTTAAATTTAATCAAATATATTACCATTCATTGTAGTTGTAAATTAGAAAAACTTATTTATTCCCCAATTATTTCGAATAACCAAATCGATACAAAACTTATATCAACAATATTAAGATATCACCATTCTACTTTAAAATCAATTATAATTAAAATAAATCAAGGAGAATTTAAATCATCTATAATACAATTTATTTTAAATCTTGTCAACTATTATTACCCAAATATCAAATTAATTTTTAATTATAAAAACTCCAATACCGACTATGACTTTTCAAAAGATTTAAATAATATTAATATTAATAATTACACCCCCAATTTTAATAACAATAACCATAACTATAGTATCAATAATTATAATTATAATATTAGTAGCAGTAATGACTCAACCCTTGAAGAAGAAAGTGATATGCAATCAATAGATGATAATCAAAACGATAATGATGATTACGAAGACGAATTTTATGTTGATGACTATCAAGATTTCGAATATGATGATAATTATAATCATAATTTTGAAGAATTTGTGTAAATAATATAAAAAAATAAATAAATTAATAAAAAAATAAATAAATAAATAACTATTTTAAAAAAAAAAAATCGAATTTATTTAATCTATATATTTGTGTGTGTATATGTGTGTATATTTGTGTGTATTTGTGTGTATGATTTAAATCTAATTTTTTAGTGTAGTTGTGTAGTTGTGAATAATTAATTAAATAATTATATTTTTTTTTTTTTTGATTTTTTTTTTTTTCAAGTTATTAAATTAGATCTTTAAAACTCATTCATTTCGGAATTATTTGTATCATTTGGTCTGACCATACCTGGAATTGCTTGTTGTTTCTTTAAAGCTAAAGCTTTTTCGGCTTCTTTTTCATCAGAAAATAACTCGACATTTTCATTATTTTGGAATTCTTTAAGTGTGATGAGGAAATCACGAACTGTAATCTTGAAGTCGTTATTATTAATATTTATTAATGAGAATAAACGATTGATAAAACTTTGAATTTGGCTCTTTGAAACATTTGGTGAAGCAGCAAGGAACGAAACAGCAATTTCTTTAACATATTCACTGTTTGATGGGAAACTAGCTTGAGATTGATCAAATAATGGAATTCTAACACCACCATTCTCAACGACTTGGAATATCATTCTTAAGATATCGCATTGTAATGGGAAACCACTCTTATGGAATGAATCAGTTAAAATGTACAAGATGTCATTGAGAAGTGATACTAAATAGGTCTTGAAGAAAACATTGGCTACGTCTTGATCTTTTGAAACATTTTCGATTAATTCTTTTAAGATGTGAAGACCGGTTTCGCTAATATTTCTTTCAGTATGTTTGAAGGCCCAAACAACACAATCAATTAATAATTTAAATTGTTGTGGGTGGAGATTATGGAATACAGTGAAAGCGTGTTGATTAATGGCACGGATTAAATTGAAGAAATTAATACGATGGTATGGGAAATCTTCAAAATTCTTTGTGATCATACCAAGGGTACACTCGAAAACAGCATCTAAAATCTTTGGAACCTCTGGGTGAATGAGGTTTTTAAGTGATGAAATGATAACGGTCATTAATGATAATACCTCTGGATCTCTTGTTTCTGGAATGTTGGTTCTATAATCACCAAGAACAGCTTCCAATAATGGTGGGATAAAGTCAGTATAAATAATTTTTTTATCGGTAGACTTTTCAATAAATGTTTCTAAAAGCTTTAAAGTTTCTTTTTTGACTGATCTCATGGCTTGGCCTAGTGTACTACGATAGATATCTGGATTCTTTGAAATATGGTCACTATAGGTTCTATAGATATTGAGAAGATCTAAATAGATTTTAGAAATTTGAGTGATATAACAGTTTTCTAAAGACATGGCAGCTCTATTATTGGTTTTAATTAAATTTAAAATATCTTTTGCAACCTCTAAAGTTAATAAAGTTTCGAGTTTGTGTGAAGCAGCAGAGGTTATTTGAACCCAGGTTTGGTTTGGTAACTCCATAAATTTAGTAACCAATTTTTCTCTAAAGGCAGCGTCACTACTTGAGGCAATCATATATCCAACAGCCTCATAGAAAGTATGGATTTGAGATGGTTCCAAGTGGGCAATAGTAGTTGATAATTGATTTAAAAGCTCATTAATAAATGGTTGAGATTCTTCAACTTGGAGGACAACAAATTTTCTTTTGCATTGTTTAGAGATTTTTAAGAAAGTATCACAAGCCATATCTTGAACACCTGGATGAGATTCGTGCATAAATTCAAAGAGTTTATTGACAACGGTCTTTAAGAATTTCCAGTGATCTTTGAGGAATCTTGGGTATTGGCCTACAATATACATGATATCACTAGCAATGACAGCTTTGTTGTCTTTACCTTTTTTATTTTGACAAAGCTCTAAGAGGTCTTTGATGACAGTAACAAGGAATCTCTTTTCTTGTTCCTTATTTTGAGCACCACTAATTGAACCAATAGCCCAACATAAAGTATTGAGACGTTGGAAACTAAATTCACGGCCACTAATTAAAATTTGAAGCTTTTCTAACATAATTTGTTGAGTATTATCAGAGTCTAAATGGGTTAAAAAGATAAGAGTTTCTCTCATTGACTCGTAAAGAGTTAATGAATCAGTATCCTTGGTGGTTTCACGAATGATATTACCATTTTCGTCTTCGACAATAATAACTTCTTCTGGTTTGGCCATGTGGTCAATTAAAACGATTCTGACTTTTGATAAGACGGATTTATATAATTGAAGACGTGGTGGTGTGGAAAGAAGAGTGGTGGTGAATGTGGCGATATCTGAGTATAAGTTTGATGAAAGGAAGTTCCAATACTCCAAACAGATCTTGAAGATTTCAATCTCGTCAACATTTGAAATGTTTACAAGGATTTCATGGGCCAATTGTAAGTATGGAATATTTAAACTATTTTCCATAATTTTGAGATGGCTCTTGAAGAAACCAGTTAAAAACAAAGCAATGGCATGAATGAAAGATTGTTCACCAACGTCACCCTCTTCATAGTCTTGTGGAATTTTGGTTGGATCTGATTTAATGTGTTTAATTTGGTTCATAACTTTATCAATGATAGCGATGAATACTGGATCATATTGTGGGTTACCCAAACTAAGACTTCCAATCTCAGTAAGACATCTTAATGTTAAGGTTCTAAACATTGGCTCTGGGAAGAACTTGTGTAATAACAATTGAACCAATTTTGATGGTTGACCAACACCATTATTAACCTCAATGATATAATGTAATGGAATCCAATTGAGGAATCTTTGTAAGCACTCCAATGTAGCTTTAATTAAAGATGGTCTGGTAGCATTTTCCAAAATGTAATAACACAACTCGTTAATTAATGAAAATTCTTTTTCAAAATTAATTTTTAGTGTTTGAATTTTAGCTTGGGTCATTTGTTCTTCTGAAAAATTGAAAATTTCTGAAAATAAAAAAAAATATTAATATTGTTGTTTTTTTTTTTTTTTTTTAAAAAAAAAATATTATATTTACCTTCACTAAGAAGCTTTAAAATAACCATGTTGTTTTCGCACAATGATTCATTGGTTTTGCTACTGTTAATAATTTCTGGGATAAAGGAGCTCCAGTTGTTTGGCCATTCTTGTTTTAAAATCTAAAAAAATAAAATAAATAAGTTAATAAACTTTAAATTAATTTGTGGTTGATATGGTATTAGTTTTATATATAAACTTACTTGAACAAAGGTAATGTCTAATTTACCAACAAGTAACTTTTCACGAGCATAAGTGGCTGGATCAGAGGTTAAACGAATGATGAGACTGACAATGTAGTTTTTGATACCATCACATTGTTCTTTTGGTAATGATTTCCAACGGTATCTGATAAGCGAGTCCATAATAACCAAACCAAGGAATTTAGTTTGTGGAACTGATGATTGTTCTAAAATCATATCGACTCTAGTCCATGCATCTGGATGTTCTTGGAATTGAGCCAAAATAGTTTGGGATGTTTTGATCTATAAACAAAAAGATAAAGTTAGAACCATTTTTAATTTAAAAAATATCAAAAAATTTTTTTTTAAAATTATTTATTTTTTTTTTTTTCTTTTTTTTTTTTTTTTTTTTTTTTTTTTTTTGGCCCCTACTATTATTTTATCTATTATGTGAAATTTTTTTTTTTTTTAAACAAATATATACATATTATAATACATACGTCATTTTTATTACTAGTTGGATTATAAAAAACACTGACAATTTGATCCAATAAATTAATGTCTAAAGGTTCATCAAAATCTAAAATACGCTCCATTTCTACAATAATCTAAAATAATGAACAATAAAAAAAAAATTATGAATTTTAAAAAAAATTATGAATTTTAAAAAAATAAAAAATTGGAAAAATATTAAAAAAAAAATAGAGGCAAAATACAATATAATATGGTAAAAAGAAAAATAAATATTCCTGTAAAACAAAAAAAAAACTATATAAATATATTAGATAATTAAAAATAAATAAAAAAAATGATAGAGTTTTTTTTTGTTTATATAATATATTTTATTTATTTATTTGTTTTTTTTTTTTTTTTTTTTTTGTTTGTTTTTTTCTTGTTAAAGTTGTGAGGTAAAGGTAAAGTAAAGTAGGTTCAGTTGTAAGTTAAGTAAAGTAAAGTAAAGTAAAGTCAAGGTTATAGTTAATGTGAAAAAGTAATAATATTAATCAAATATTAATAAATTACTTTGTTATGTGTAGAGTTAATAAAAACAAGTGTGTTATATTTTCAAAAAAAAAAATTTTAAAAAAAAAATTAAAAAAAAAATTAAAAAAAAAATTAAAAAAAAAAAATACAAAAAAAATAAAATTAAATAAAATTTAAAAAAAAAAAAAAAAAAAATATTTTAATTTAAAATAACAAAATATTTTTTTTTAAAAAAAAAAAGTGTTTTTTTTAATTTTTTTTCATTTATTTTTATTTTTTTTTTCATAAATATTTTATTAAATTCATTATTTTCACAAGATAAATTAATGAAATCTTGTAAATAATATGGATCAACAACAAACACAACCACCACAGCAACCACAACAACAAATACCGCATCCAGTTGACCCAAATTTACCAATTCAATCTGATTTACAAAATGGGAATATATCATTATCATTAGTTATTCATAGATTAGTAGAACAATCATATAACAATTTATTAGGATTAACCGAGAATTTACCAAAAGCAAATGATTTGGAAAGAAAAAAAGCGTTGGTCGATTATTTGGATGGAACTAGGGAAAAGTTTCTCAGACTTTTAGTTTTAATGAAGTGGTCGGAACATGTACCAACTCTTACAAAAGCAAATGTAAATTTAGATTATTTTTATTTTTATTTTTTAAAAAAAAATTTAAATAAATTTTAATTAATTTTTTTTATTTAGAATATTATAAATTTATTAAATCAAGAAGATTCATATTTTAGAGAGGCAGCAGATTCATTAATAAACACACAATATGGGCTAGTTAATGCAAGAGCCCCAATTTATGATGTACCAACTGCTATCGATGTATTAACAACAGGAACCTATCAAAGAATGCCAACAAGTATTAAAAAGGTTATTCCACCACCAATGTTAAAACCATCTCAAATTGATTCGACTCTCCAACGTTTAGATGACATTATCAAATATAAATTATTTATAAGTAGTATACCAAAAGAGTTTGAACCCATTCAAGTCGGTAAGTAATTATAATATAAATATTAGCCATTAAAATAGAAATATCCATTAATATTTTCCTTATTTTATCAGCTGACGGCAAAGCACATATAGTTGTTAAAGATGAATATGATGTATATATTACAATTGATGGGGGCTCAGAAAAATCAAATTGGTTAATACTTTCATTAAATTTATTTGTATATTCAAAAAGAAACTCCAGTGGTGAGGGACCTATTCAGGTTGCATATGATGAAAGAATTAGAAAAGTAATCGAAAGAGTCCAGAATCGTATATCATCATCACCAAATCCACTATATGAGTTACACAATATTATTCGTATGTATATAACTAAACATTATGGTTGGTATTGGTTTTTTTACTAATTGTTTTTTTTTTTAGACTACCTTTGTATATCATCACAAATGGACATTTTAGCATCACAGGTTGAAAACTTAAAAAAAACAATTTTAAAGAACAATATAAGATGTGTTTTTGGCAAAGATCAATCAATTACAGTGTTTTATTGGCTACCTGAAGATATAAATTTAATTGGAGTTACTCAAACCACTCTTGGAAATTTAAATCCATCAAAGAATACAAATTTCAAAATCTTTATTGATGATAGTCAAAAAATTAAAATTTCGCACTTTCCACCTGTTGTACATCCAAAGAATGATAACTACTTTAATATTGTAAGTCAAATATAATAATATTTATTCACCAAAAACCTATTAACACTCTAGTATTTTATTGTAATATAGTCAAATTTAAATATTGAAACTATTTTATTACAGGCTATTGAACTAAATGCATATCACAAAGTGTTCCACTTATATGGTAAACTATTAGATAGTAAACTTAGTGATGGTTTAAATACAAATCAAAATGCATCAACAAGACCAACAAATCTATTAATGGCAACAAAACAACAACAAAATAATAGTATTCTAAATAGATCCTTCCATTTAAATGACGTAAAGTTAATTATGAGTTCAAGATTTTCAGATGAAAACCAATCAATTTCAAACCATAATGATCACCTTCCTACTGTTTTAAGGGTTATGCTATATGGCTCCAAATTTTTAGATGTCTCTGTTAATTTTACCAATGGAAAATTCTCTCTCATTAAATCTTCAAATTATATAGAACTTACAAGTCATTTAGAACAAAAATTAAATAATAATCCAAATGAAATTAAATCAATTGTTAATATATTTAAACTAAAGGTTTGTATTCACACATATATAAATATAAATTTAATTATATACTAATTTTATTTATTTATAGTCACTTTTAACATGTTTTGAAGAAGCATCGCTATTTTTAGGTTTGGAATGTTTTTATAAAATACCACTTCAGCTAACCAATAATAACAATAGTAATAATAACCAAATTGCAAATGAATTGTTTTCAGAATCAAATTTTATTTGTATTAGTTTACCAAAAGAAACAGATCCAATTATTATAGTTATTTCAATTAAAGCAAACTGTTTCACACCATCATTCCATTTATTATTTTGTAAACTTTTGCAAAAATCAACCATTATGACATTAGAATCAATTATAAAATTAGAGAACGAATCATTATCCAACCTTTTAAAAGATTGCCCAATTGGTGGTAACTCTAATAATAGACAACCTTTTCAAACCTATGTATCAAAATTATTAGAAAAAATCATTGAAGCCTCAAATCAAAAAATCAACCTATTATCAATCCAATCCTATTTAAAGAAGGAGAATATAAACTTTATTCAGCCTCCATCTATTTCAACAACCTCATCTACCTCACCATTGTTCATATCAAACCCACAGCAACTACTATCATCACCCTCTACATCATCACCTTCATCTGCAAACTCCACTCCAACACTACTTTCATCAAACCCCGCACTACTTTTTTCATCCAATCAACTATCAACATCATTATTCTCATCACCCTCAGATGATAATAGTATCGTTTTCTTTTTTGATGAGAAACAAATTGAAAAAGTATCACCATTCTTAAAAAATCACATCACACCACAAACTCCAATTACAGTTGTATTCAATAAAGAAGACTATTTCGTATCATTCACTCAGCAAAGACCATTCCAATATAAAAGATACAACAATGACATATTAAAACTATCTGAACAAGAAATCGAATATGAAAATCATTTAATTTCAAATGGCCCAAACTATTCATACAATAATGGTAATTGGGTATTCAAGTATCCAAAAGTAAGTAGTATTTTTAAAGTGTTATTAATATTTATAACCTATAATTAACAACATCCTTTTTTTAGACTAGCGACTGGCTAAATCATTTTCATAGTGATCTCTTGGCAATTTCAAAGATTTCAAATATTTCATCACAACTTTTAAAACAAATTGAAACCTTAGAGAACTATAAACAATTGATAACTTTGGTATCAGTGAAACCAATGGAAATCGAGTTTATATGCTCAATTGAATCCCCAAAGACATGTACCAATATTAGATTCTTTATTGACAAAACATCGAATGATATTCAAATTGGCTTCAATCCATACACCAATCCTTTGGTAAACTATTTCGCTAAAGATATTAATCAATCACCAAATAATGATATCACAAATGCACTAAGGGCAATTATAAACTCAAATGATATCTCTATCTATATCAATGGTCTAATATCTCCATTAGAAATAACACTATTCCTTCCATTGGAGATTCTTGTAATTCCACGTTCACTCTATCAAATTCGTTTGCTTTATAAAAATCTCTATGGTATCGACATCAAACTCATCTCTCATGAATACTGCGCAATTGGTGATAGCTTTTACTCTTTAAATGCCTCTAAACAAGTTAGACTCACAAGTATTAACCAACTACATTCATTCATGGAACAAAGAATCTCATTACAAGCATTAGATAACCCATTAGGGCATCGTACATTTTGGTTGTTACCTATAAAACAATTTTTAAAGACTGTAAATAGAATATTTATTTACCTTCATTCTCTAAATACTTTTAAAAATACACAAGGTTTAATGAAAAATTATGTAAGTATAACATACACTTTATTTTAGAAATAACCATATAATTAATTTTTTTTTTTTTCAGTTTATATTACAAAGTCAAGTCAATGCCCATATAAACAAATTTTCAAACGAATACTATCTTGTAAATATTTCAATTAGGGATTTTACCCATTTCGAATTTGACATGAGTAAGTATAATCATTATGAAAATTAATATTATTTTGTAAAAAAAATTATTAATAAAATTTTTAAAATCGTTTTAGGATGCATAAAAGATGATATATTAAAACCAGAAGAGATTGATACATTCCGTAGATATTTTAAGAAAAAGATATTAAGCCTAAGCTATAGAAATCAAGCACTATCATCATGTATACAAATGTTAACTTTACCACCATTTATATTATCAGAGATAATCAGATTACTTTTAGAGATTACAGGACCTAAATTTGATGGATTTACAATCGAACTATGCCTAAATACCTCGAATGTAAACAACCAAAAAAGCAAAGAATCATTCTTCCACAACTCTGACGAAAAACAAATTTATCTTATTTTGCGTTATCTTACATCAATTAGAAATGAAAATGCCTCAGTACCACCTCAAGACCAATTTTTAGATATACCTATAATTTATAATTACTCAAGCGATAAAAAGTCATTTCAATATTGGAATAAGGGTATAACCGATTTAAATCTTACTAAAAAACTAGCATCTCCATTTGATGATTTGAAAAAGAAATATGTTGAAGAAGTTGGGAAAACTGTTATAGACCAAATTACAACCATATTGGTTCAAAATCCAAACTCAAAACCAAATCCATTATCCTTATTCTTCAAAGCTTTTCTTGAAAAAGTTAAATTAATGTTATCAAACCAAAACAATATTATTGCCACCTCCCCTCAATAATATTTAATTTTAAAAAAATATAATAAAAAAAATAAAATAAACATAAATATAAAGTAAAAATATATATTTTTATATACAATGTTTACATTGATCTAAATATTCCATTTATATATCTAAAATATCTCAATTATTTAAATTATAATTATATAATTTTGTTTAAATTTATATTTTATATTTTATATTTTATTTATTTATATATTTTTATTTCCAAAATATCTTTTTTTTTTTTTTCTTTTTAGAAATTTTATAAATAGAAGCTCCTTATTGATAAATTTTTATGAATAATACCTCCAAAATTTAAAAAAAAAAAAAAAGGGGTTAAAAGATGTATAGCTGGTGCTTATGTGGTTTTTGTTTTGGTTCTTTAGTTGTTTATTTTGGATATAAAATAACTATTTTCTTCATTAAAATATTATTCATTTAAACAAACAATAATTAAAATAATATATTAAAAAAGTAATATAGTTAATTTTATTTTTAAATTCTGTATTTTTTTTAATTTTAAAAAAAAATAAATAAATAAAATAAAAATAAAATATTTTTTTTTTTTTTTTATTTTTTTTTTTAATTTTTTAAAAATTTTTTTAAAAATTTTTTCGACATTACTAATTTTTTTTTTAAAATTTTTTTCATTTTTATTTATCAATTGATATATAGATAGAAAAATGGTACGTGAACTTAGCGTTTAGTATTTATTTATATGTATTATTAATAATAATAATAATTTTAAAAAATTATTATTTTATTATACAAAAAACAAAATAATTAAACAAATTATATATGAAACATATTGTTTATATTATATTTTTATTTTATTTTATTTTATTTTATTTTTTATACATAAATAAATTTTTACGAAAAGATATAAATAAATAAGTTTTATAAAATACTAACTTTAATTTTCTTTATATATAGGCCGAATCTGAACAAGTTCAAGTCAAATTAGTTTTAGTTGGTGATGGTGGTGTTGGTAAAGTAAGTTATCATTAAAAAATATTCGGTTTTTTTTTTTTTAACAACGAATATTAACATAATTTTTTTTTTTATCTCATTTATAGACCACCTTCGTTAAACGTCATCTTAACGGTGAATTCGAATCAAGATATATCCGTAAGTCTTCAGTTTATATTTGTTCCTAAATAAAATTTAAAATAGAGAGAAACAGAAGAGAAATTTCAATTATTCTTATTATGGTTTATCAACATAGGTGTCAATTAAATAATAATTTACTTTCTAGTTGGTTTAAATATAATATAAATTCAAAATCTCTCTCAATTTTTTTAGCGGCAAAAAAAAAAAAAAAAAAAAAAAAAAAAAAAAAAAATGTATTAATTTTCTTTTTTTTTAAATTTTAATAGCAACTCTTGGTGTCTCAGTCCAACCATTATCATTCTACACCAATTTTGGTAAAATTGTTTTCAATGTCTGGGATACTGCCGGTCAAGAAAAATTCGGTGGTCTTAGAGACGGTTATTATATTCAAGGTCAATGTGCCATTATTATGTTTGATGTTACTTCACGTATGTCATACAAACACGTTCCAAACTGGTACAGTGATTTAGAAAGAGTTTGTGAAAACATCCCAATTGTTTTATGTGGTAACAAAGTCGATATTAAAGATCGTAAAGTCAAACCATCACAAATCAACTTCCATCGTAGATACAATTTATCATACTATGATGTCTCTGCCAAATCAAATTACAACTTTGAAAAACCATTCATCTGGTTAGCCTCAAAACTCCTCGGTAACAAGAGTGTTCATCTCGTCCAACAACCAACCCTCAAACCAGCTGAAGTTCCATTAGATGCTGGTTTAATGCAACAATACGAAACTGAAGTCCAAACTGCTGCTGCTGTTCCACTCCCACCAGATGACAATGAAGATTTATAAACAACTTTTAAAAAAAAAATCAATTATAAATAATATCAATCCTTATATAAAAAAAAACCTTTAAAAAAATTAAAAAACAAAAAATAATTTAATCAAAAAATACAATACCTCTTTTAAATTAAAAACCACATCATTTAAAATATTGTTTTTTTTTTTTAAAAAAATTAAAATACAATTTTAAATCTATCTTTATTATTCATAAAAAAAAATTTTGTCTTTATTCAAAATATTATTTTTTTTAAAAAAAAACTATTTTTAATTGATTTGCTACACAAATATTTTTGGTTGCCAAGATCAATTTAAGTATTTGGTTGAAATTTATTTAAATAAATAAATTAATATTTTTTACAATTAAGGTCATAATAGTTATTTTATTTTTTAGATAAATTTTATTCAAATAAAAGAAATGAAAAACTAAAATTACAATCATTTTCGTTATTTTTTTTTACTTTTTTTTTTTTATAATAACACAACCATTTTGTGAGCTTTTATGTGTGTTCGCTTTCTCATGAAGCTTTTTTTTAACGAAAAAAAAAATTATAAAAAATTAAAAAAAATAAAAAAATTTAATTTTTTTTTGCCTTTAAATTTTTTTTTTTTTTTTTTTTTTTTTTTTTTTTTTTTTTTTTTTTTTTTTTAAGGTTTTGGGGGGGGGGAAATAAAAAAAAAAAATATAATTTATATTTTTTAGTGTATATAATATATAATCACCTTTTTTTATTAACTTAATAGATAAATTAATTAAGGGTATGTTTTTTCAAAACAATACAGTTTTTTTCTAGATTTTTTCAGTATATTTATATGTGTATTTTTCCACAATAGAAAATTTTTATATTTTAAAAATTTCAATAAACAACACAAATAGTTTAATAGTTTTATAGTTCAAAGTTCAATTATTTAAATATAACATAGGAATTCATTTTCTAACACTAAATTTTTAATTTGTTTTTAAATTATTATTTTTTTTTTTTCTTTGATTTTTTATTTGTGTTTTATTTTTTATTTTTTATTTTATTTAAATTTATATAGAAATAAAAAAATTTACAATATATCAAAAATGGAAGTCCCACAACCAATTATTGAACTTTTACAGTCATTAAACTCTGGTAACAATGAACAAATTAAAAAGGGCGAAGAGTTATACAATCAATTAAAGCGTCAACAACCAGATCTTTTAATTTCCAGTTTTATTACTTTAATCAGAACTTCACAAAATGAAGCTGTATGTAAATCATAATTTATTTATATAGATACTTTTTTTATTTTTGTTATTATAAAGGGTGTAGATAGTATTAAAGGGATAGATAATTTCAAAAGGTGTTGGAAAAAAAGTGAAGGACAATATACAATAATTAATATTAATAACAAGAATAAATAAATAATAAATGGAGTAAATAATTAATGTTTAAATAATTAATTAAATATTTTATAGTTAAGATCATATCCACCAGTTTTACTTAGAACTTTAGTTAATGGTGTTGATTCAGGTAATATTCTTTCATCATTAAAACCAGAAACTATTGGACTTTTAAAAGCCGAATTAGTCAATGCTGTTTATCAAGAACCAAAGAACTATATCAGACATTCAATTCTCAATGTTATTGCAGTTCTTGCAATCTATCTTATTCCAAAACAACAATGGACTGAAGTTTTAGAATTCATTGTACAATCAGCCAAAGACCAAAATGAAAATTTAAGAGAGTCTGCTTTCTTTTTAATTGGTGCTATTATTGATGACCCAAGCGTCTCACAAGCTCTTTCACCATCATTCCCAGTTTTTGCCGAACTTGCTAAAAAAGGTCTTGAAGATCCATCAACTAAAGTCAAAGTTGCTTCATTAGAAACCATCTCTTCTTTCATTGATGCTAATCCAGAACAAGCAGAAGTTTTTAAACAATTAATTGGATTAATGTTACAAGTAAGATATCAATTAATAATATTAGATAACAGCAATAATAATAATAATAATAATAATAATAATAATAATAATCAATTTTAACAATAACATTAACATTAAATATTTTTTCTTTTTAGGCTGTTCAAAAAGCTATTGAATCAAATTTAGAAAAAGAAGCACAAAAAGCTATTCTTGCTTTTATTATTATTGTCCAATATCACCCAGATTGGTTCAAAGCCGAATTTAACCTTGTTTTTAAAACTTTCTTTGGTTTCCTTGAATCAAAAGCACTTGAAGACGAAACTAGACACACCGTTTTACACTTTTTCCTCACCGTTGCCGAAGTTAAATCAAGTTTAATGAAGAAGGCTGAATATTTAGAGCCATTAGTTTTACTTTTACTCAAATGGATGTCCACTGTCGAAGATATCGATTTTAAAGAATGGAACAGCTTAGAAACTGAACCAACAGAAGATGACGACCCAAATGTTGCCCTCGAAGCTATCGAATCCTTATCTCATTGTATCAGCAAAGGTCTTTGGGATTTCTTTGGTAAATGTGCCCCAACTCTTATTAAATCAAACAACTGGAAAGAACGTTATACATTCTTAATGACCCTTTCAGCAATTTCAGAAGGTTGTCAAAAGAAAATTAAACAAAACTTCAAACTCCTCATTGAACATATGACTGCTTTAGCCAAAGACCAACATCCACGTGTTCGTTTCGCTTTCTTCTATTGTTTAGGTTCACTTTCAACAAGTATCAAACGTGAAGTTCAAGATGCATACAAAGTTTTAATCCCAATCGCATTAGAACATCTTAACGACCCATTTTCAAGAGTTATCATTTCAGATTGCGAGTTTTTAACTTTATTCCTTGATGAAATTAAAACATCAAGAGTCAAAGAATTCAAAGACCAATTTTTAGCAGGATTATCACCACTCTTACAAAGCAACGATTACAAGATTGTACAACACTCATTAAATGCTTTCTCAAGTGTTGTCGATGGTATTGGTGAAGATTTTACCAAACATTATGGTGAAATTATGCCATTCTTAATTAAAATCATTCAAACTCAAACTTCTCAAGAAACCAAAACTCTTCGTGGTAGAGCTATCGAAACTATATCATTAATCGGTTTAGCTGTTGGTAAAAAAGTTTTCATCAGAGATTGCATTGAAATTATCAATTACATTTCATCATTACCAAAATTACCAGATGACGATCCACAAGTTGATTTCTTCTTAAGAGCTTTCACTCGTTTCGCTCAATGTCTTGGTGAAGATTTCGTTCCATATCTTCCAAATGCCATGTCACCATTAATGGATGCTATCAATGGTAAAGTTGAAATCGAAGAAAGTAATGAATATGCCGATTCAATTGGCTCATCTGGCACTGTTGTTATGGAAAATAAAGCTATGGCCTTAGAAATGGTTTCAATTTATTGCATGGAATTAAAGATTCATTTATTCCCATATGTCGAAAAATTATATAGTGGTTCAATCAGTTTAATCGATTTTGCCTACAATAGCATCGTTCCAATTCAAGCTGTTAACCTCATCCCATATCTCGTTAAAATCTGCAGAGGTTATTATGAAAGCCAAGGTGTTCCAAATGGTATGGCTTCAGATTATACCGCCAAAATATACAATGATGCTTTTGAACGTTTAGTTGCCTCAATTAAAATCGAAGCTGAACCAGAAATTGCCTCTGCTAAATTAAAAGCTTTAGCCGATCTTCTCGACATTGGTGGTGGTTTTGAACCAACCAAAATACTCAATGCTACTTTTGATGCTGTCCGTGAAACTTTTACAAACCTTCAAGAAATCGAAGACGAATACCAACAAGGTATCGATGCTGAAGATGAAGATGCTGATGAAGCTCCAGAAAGAGAAATTATCGATGATGCTTACAACAGTTTAGCTATGGTTTTAGGTGAAGTTTGTATTCAATATAAAGCTGCTGCTGTTCCATATATTAAAGAAGTTCTTGTAACTATCAACGATCTCATCGAAAAAGCCCCATCTGTTGAAATCAAAACATCTATGATTTGCATTTTAGATGATTTAATTGAAAATGGTGGTCCAGATGCTTACCTTCTTTATCCACACATTATTATTCCAATGTTAAAATGCGCTTCAGCCACTGACGAAGATCCATCACTCATTCAATCAGCCGTATTTGGTCTTGGTTTAGCTGCTGAAAACGGTAAAGAATATTTTAGTCAATTCTTAATGAAATCACTCGAAGTTTTAGTTGGCATTATTAATAGACCAACCAGCGACGATGAAGAAGTTGCTGCTCGTGATAACTCCATCTCTGCTATGGGTAGAATGATTGTTTCCCTTCCAGCCCATTTAGGCAACAATCTTCCAGCATCCATTGATGCATGGTTAAGCTATCTTCCAATCCAAGATGAAGGTGAAGCCCATTCCATCATTAAATCATTAGGATTCCTCATCCAAACATACCCTCAATTAGTTTTAACTGAAAATAAAATTGTTAGAATTTTAGAAGTTATCGCTGTAGGTCTCATCAGAAATGTTATTGATGAAAACGAAAAAGCTGCTTTTGTCAATGCCTTATCACCATTCAAAAATCAAATCATTCAACAATTTGGTAATGTCAAGGCTGAATATAGAGAACCACTTAATACTCTTTTAAAATAAATTAAATAATAGTATTTTATATTAAATAAACATTAAAAAAAAAAAAAAATAATAAATAAAAATATATGCATTGTCTGTTATTATTTAATAATCAAAGAAATTAATTTTATCAAACCGTTGGTCTCGAGTTTTTTTTTTTGTTTCAAATAAAATTTTTTGATAAAAAAAAAAAATGACATCTACAATAACGGCCATACGCAAAAAAAAAAAAAAAAAAATTTTTTTTTGTTTCGACAAAATTTCATTTAGATATGAATTTAAAATATTATTTGTTTATATTTTTATTTTACATATTTATTTTAAAAGCCAGAAGTCAAACTTTAAACGCCAAAGAATTAACATGTTTAACAAACTTTGTAAATATTTATTCTTTTCATTTTCATTTTATTTTTTTTTTAATACTAACATTTATTTTATAGGCAAGTAAATTTGGTTTGTCATACACCAATTGTGACGGTGTTAATGTTTTGTGCAAAACAATAGATAATGAATTATATATTGAACAAATGTATTTATAATTTTAATAATAATAAATATTCGATATTGGAGTACAACATTAAATAATTATAGGTATATTTTTAAAAAATAAAATTATATAAACTAATGATAAATTTTATTATAGTATTACACAACAAAAAAACCAAAATTATTTATTAACAAGTGATATTGAATGCTTTTCAAACATTTTTTATTTTCACATGGAAAATTGTTACCTCTACCCAGATTTCTTTATAGGACCTTTCCCAGATTCCCTAAGTTTTTTTAGAATGAATTATTGTACAGGTTTGGAAAGGCAATTTGATAAACCTATTTACCCCAAAATAAAAACTCTCGATTTTACTTTTAAAGATAGCATTAATTTGATTATAAATCTTTCAAACATTAGAACTTTAACAGGTTCATTGTAGGTATTTTTAAATTTTATTATTTATTTAAATAAAAATTAACTAATATTTTTTTTTATATAAAAGTAATCTTTATTTTATTAATAATGCTTTACGAGAAGCAAGCACGTTAAAATTAAACAATGACCTTACACCAGAAACTAAAATGACATTATCATTTATGCATTTTAGTTCAAATTATATACCCAATTTATCAAATGTTAAAATTCCAATACAGTTGTAAGGATAAAAAAGATTTGTTTTTTTAATTGTTCTTAAAAACTAATTTTTATTTTTAAAAGAATTTTATATTTAACAGGTCAACCAATTGGTATTGAAAGCATTAGTACATTTATAGAAATCAACCAGTTAATTATTTATAGTTATTTTACAGAGGAAATAGAGTTTCCTCCATTTCAAACTCTTTTCCCATTGAAAAAGTTTGATTTGTAAGTTCTCCTTTTTTTTCTTTTTTTAATAATTTTTTTTTATATTAATTTGATTTTACTTATTAATCAATAATAATCTTCAGGTATATTTCTACTGTAGGTTATTTTAAAAAGCCAACAAATTATATTGATTTATCAAATTCAAAAATCGGTTCTTTAAAGATAGTAAATGCTGGATTAGATTTTAATATTGATGGTAATGTTCCATTTATTTTTCCAAAAGAAATAGTTGAGTTTGATGTTAGCTATGGATCTTTTTCAAACATTCCATCTTTCAAAGGTTTCGATATAAAGTTTTTATCTCTAAGAAAGTGCAATTTGAACTTAAATTTTTCAAATTTTAAACGAGACTATTTCCCACCCTCTCTTCTTCATTTAAGTCTACCAGATAATCAACTTTTTGGAACTATCGATCAAAGTTTTTGTTCACTATCATTATTGGTTCTTCAAGATAATAGTTTATCAGGTAAGAGAACTATTTTATTATTTATTAAAATTTATAATTTATTAATTAATTTTTTTAAATTAGGGGCTTTGCCATCCTGTGTATCATGTTTTTACCAAAGCTATCCATTAATTCAAGAATTGTTTAAAGGTACCAATAATAAATTTGACCCAGTTGGACCATGTACAACTATTGTTCCAAAAATAAGAATAGAGAATAGTTGTAAGTTTTATAAAATGATTAATTAAATATATAGATTAATGTTATTAACAAAATATATTAGATTGTAGAGTTTATGGCCAAGATGTTGGCTATTCTAGTACACAGGTTATTCTTTCATCAAAAGGATTTACAAACGTTATTGGATATTTTAATGGTTTAGAATATTACTTTACTTTAGGCAGCGAATATAATAGTGTAACATTATGGAATTTAACATTTCCAACAATACCACCTCAAACATTTACTTTATCAACTGATAATTCCCCACCAAATATTGTATTGGTAAAGCCATCCCTTTCAAATACATTTGTTTTTGAAGGAGATCACTTTTCTTATAATAAAAGTGAAGTAGAAATAACAATCGATGGTAAAAAATGTGAAGTTGTTTCGTCCACTTACTATAGTATATCTTGTACAATCAACTCTTTAGACCTTTCGAAAAGAAGAGTTTTAACATATGTCAAAATAGATCAAATGCAAACTCAATTAACAATTTTGGATTTAACTAAAGAGAATTCAATTTCTTATTGCCCAAATGATTGTGGTTCTGGATATTGTTTCTCGGATATTGGTGAATGTGCCTGCTTGTTGGATTGCCAAAATGGGGGTCAATGTAATTCAAATACACAGGAGTGTATCTGCACAGGTAAATGGACTGGTGATTCATGTACAATTCCACTTCATTATGTTAGTGCCGTATCTCCAAGTTCTACATCAGGTGGAGAGGCCAAAATTTACGGATCTTTTGGTAGTTTACATCAATATCTTTCAGTATATATCGGAAATAAGAATTGCACACCAATTACTTCTGTTTCAAGTGATCTTATTATATGTAATGCACCAGAGGGTGAAGGCGTCAAGGATTTAAATGTTACACAAAACTTTAATTCTTTTATTGGAAAGAATATGTACAGCTATATAAGTCCAGTTATCAAGTGTCCAAATAATTGCACATCAACAAATAATGGTAATTGTAATACTAGCAATGGTGAATGTAAATGTAAAGTTGGTTATTCGGGCTTCGATTGCAGTGCATTAAAAAATAACGATGAAAAAAATGGAACAAGCAGTGGGGAGAATACAAACAACCAAAATAAAGAAACTGTACCGGTATCTACGACAACCATTGATAAAGAATCAGCAATTACAAAAATTACAAATCAAGAAACCTTTTATGAAATTTCAATTACAGAGTTGCACGAAATCTCAATAGATGGTGCATCTATCAATAAATTTGATTTAGTTAAAAAATGGGACATAACAGCCAATGACGATTCAAAGAGTTTTGTTTTTAAACAACAATTAGAAAATTCAACATCAACTATAACTTATGTAATTCAAGAGATTGAAGAGACCACTCAATTCACTTTTGCAGACATCCCATTTACTCTCGAAAGGGGTTCCACCAAAATATCAGTTATCATTGAAAACTTTCCATTCACAAGTTCACTTAGTACTTTGGCCCTTTATTTTAACACAAAAGCAACTCAAGGACAAGAGGATCTAAAGAATGAATGTAATAAAAAGGAAACTGAAATCGATACATCTAATGTAAGCGATAATTTGATGCTAAACTCTTATGTTAGTATTGCTAAAAACTCTAAGGTTTTATATGGAAGAATAATAAATCGTGCTATTTCAGACGAGAAAGCAACATTTATCTCATCATCGATTATAACAAACAGTTCGGATTCCTTGGTACTTTCCCTCAATTTACCTCATTGCAACAATAGATGTGAAATCGATCCAGACTTTTCAGTATTGGTATCACCAGGATTTAAGCAATGTAAAAACCAAAATGGCAAATCTTGGGTTATACCAGTAGCTGTTGTAATACCATGTGTTTTTGTTGTTGCTATTGTTATCGTTGGTGCTCTACTTATCAAAAAAAATCGTACAAATGTTATGGTTATTAAAAAAAAATTTAAAAACAAATTTAAACCAACAAAAAAACAAGATTTATATATGCCTAGCGAGGCTGAGTTAAAAAAAGTTTAAAATAAAAAATATTTGATCATTTATTTTATTTTATTTTATTTTATTTTATATTGGTTTTTAATAATTTTTTTTTTTTTTTTATAGCCGATCGAGAGGTTGTTCTTGTACTACTTGTTTTGGATAAAAAATTTCTTTTAAAATTTAATTTATTAAAATTACAAAACCAATAAAACAAATTCTTAAAAGGCGGCTTTTCCAATAAATTTTACATTTCAAAAAAATAAAATTTAAAAATAAAAAAAAATTAAAAATTTTGATAATTTTTTTTTTTTTTTTAAATTAAACCAATTATTTTTTTTAATGCAACAAAACAATTAGTAATAATATAAAATTAATAAAATATAGTAACATAAATATGGTTAGACAACCAATTCAACCAATACAGGAACAACAACAAGATAACAATAACAATAATCAAAAAGAAAATCTAATAAATAATTTATTTGAATTAATTTTAAAGATTCAAGAATTAAACGAAGAAGAATTTTCACAAAATAATAATAACAATAATCATGAAATAGAAAATAAAGAAAAGAATAACAATAAAGATACTAGCGATAGTGATAATAGTGACAATAATAACAAATCAAAAAAACATAAATATGAAAGATATATACCGAGAATAAGAACATTATTACCAGAATTAATAAATACATATCTAGTATCAAGTGCCAGCATATCAGATATTAATCAAATTGTTAAACTTATAAACATTTTAGTCGAAAGGGTACCAAGTAGTGCAATTGGTGATAGCAGTAGAATTTGTTTTTACCTTTTCAAACTAATTCCACTTCTCTCACACAAATCACCATCATTTGATTTAAACATTCTAAATATTCAACAATTACAAGAAAGGGAAGAAGAGGATGAAGCTTTAACAGACAATTTAATTAGTGCTATTAAATCAATGTTGAATCTTTTAACGGATGAAATTAATGTATTGCTATTGTTTATTAAAGAGTCCATAGATTTATTTAAAGGTAGGTTTGCTAATCTCATAGAATATCAATATTTTTAAAATATATTCTAAAATTTTTTATTTATTTTTTTATAGATTCTATTGATTTTATCAAAGTTATTAGTCAACAAGAAGATCATGTTTCACAATTAAAAAAGCAAAAAAAGGATTCGCAAGTAACAGCAACAAACAATATAGCATCAGAAACATCTAATCAAATTAAACCAGTTACTGAGCAAAATTCGGTATTTCCAATTGTATTAAAAACATTTTGTGAACTCTCAACCTCAGTTGTATTAAACGATTCATCAAATATGAGCAGTTCATACTCAAAAACATTTCAATCATCCGATTTATTATTCCAAACAGAAATGGCATTCAACGAATATGAAAAAGCAAATGCAAAGAATTTTGAAAATTATTTTAAAAACAGCAAAGAGGAACAAGAGAAGAATAATTATAAACCAATAGATGAAGGTGTATTGATTGTTATTTCATCCAACAATCGTTTAATTAATCTCCAAAGTGGTTTAATAATTGGGATTAGTAGTGTTATTGAAAACTTTTCATATTACCTCTCCACCCACTTTAACGATCTCTGGTATATCCTTTCTGAATATTTTTCACTTTTAAATTCAATTAATTTGACATCTTATAAACTCATGGCCAGTTTTATAAATGTAGGTTTCCCTTTTTTTAAATTTTAAATTTAATTATTTTTTTACTAATTATTCATTTCCTTTTTTTTTAGTCATTATTAACACTATTCGAAAAGTTATTAAAGTCATCATCAAATGTAGTTCCAATTTTATTCAACAGAAAAATTATTAAAAATTTCTTAGAATTAGTAATACCAATGAGTGTTCTAATAAAATCTAAAAAGAAAAATTTGGTTGATGAAAAGATTTCAGTAATATTACCGTTGTTATTTTCAAATATCTCAGATTCGACATTATTTGAACTTTCATCATCAATTTTACCAAATATTCTATTTATAATTAATAATACAGAATCAAAACAATTAAAGGTAATTTAAAAAATATTATTATTATTCATCTATATAAATAAATACTAATTTATTTCTTTTAGGTATCAGTTTTAGATATTTATTTTAAAATTTTAAAACTATCAACACTTCATTTTAAATCATTATTCACATTGGTACCATTATTTAGTGATAGAGATATCCATGACAGTCTTTATGATTGTTTTGAATATGTTATTAATCAATCTTATTTATCAGAAAATGAAGAATCTGAATTTTCAAGCGAAATTTTATCAAATCTTGTAGATTATGCCAACTGTTTAAAAATTTCAAGTATTTTCAATGATTTCCCCACAAAGCTTGATAAACATCAACAAAGATCTTTAAATACAACGATAGAACAACAAAAAACAATTAGAGTTTATACCAATGCACTTCATTTAATATTCAGAATATGTAAAAACCATCATAGTAAAATTCCATTAAAGGATATTGTAGAGTTACTTATCAATAATTTGAATATTGTTTTCAAAGTTTTAATTCAAGTAAGTATACAACACATAAAAAACCAAGATCTTAAAGTATATACTAATATTTTATTTTAATAAAAAGCAAAAAGAATTAAATGAATTATATTTAGATATTTTAATCGATCAAATGGAGTTTTCTAAAACAATTTTAATAGAATATGTACATAAAATTTCAAATTTAAAGACTATGGAGCCCCTCATCGAACCATTGTTTAATATAGCATTTATTTTCACAAATCATCCAACCCTTTTTAACATTAACTATAGTGAAAAAATTGACAAGTTAAGAATCATTTCATTTTCATTGATCAGCTGGTTACCACCTTCTTTTTATATTAGCGAAAGAAAAAATTTTATTTTATCAAGTCTAACAATTATTAAAATTAATGAAGATGACAATGGGCAACAAAAGACCTTATCAAGTCCAATAATTATTAATATAGTTTCAAGTGATTCTCCTAATATGGATCAACAATCATCACCATCAATATCTATAAACGAAGAATACTTAATTAATATTATAAAATCACTTCCAATCTTTATTTCAAACCTGGCTCCTGTAAACTTTTTAAATTCGGTCAGTACCAACCAGCCATTTATACTCTTGGTCGATGAAATTATATCTAAACTCAACAAAATAATTGAATTAACAGTTCCATCTTCAATTTTAGATATGATTGGTGTCATAGGAGGTAGTTTATATTGCTTAAAAGAGGGTTTCTGTTTTTTCGAAAATCTAAATTATCAAACTTATTTAAATCATAATACAGTTGATAATAATCTTTTAATAATCAATAATAGTATTTTACTTCAAAAATTCACTGATAAACCAGAGAATAGAATTAAAATTGACCCACTTTTAGCAAATTATAACGAATTGGTGGGTTGTAAACACTTCTCAGATATTTGGTTACCTTATTGCACATGTAAAAGTATATTGGTATCATCAACTCAAGATCCAACTATTGTTGAACCCAACTTAAAGCCATACAAATCGTTATCACACAGTATCAAAGCAGATTTAAATGATGACGTAATGCAAGTTGATGGAAACAATAGCAATAGCAGCAACAACAATAATAATAAAGATAATAGTAATATTGATGTGGGTGAAGTTTCTCAAAATTTAATTTTAGAACCATCAAATAATATTTTATTTTCAAAATTATTTGAAAAAGATATTAAATCAATTTTAAACGATGATCCCAGCGCTATCATTGACGACTCTCCAATCAAGTATTTTTATTTAAAGTATACATTCAAAAATATTTTAATTCATAATTCACCACTTTCAAGCTCATCAATTGATCCATTCTTCAGTTTTTATATTTCCTTACTTGCACAAAATAGAAATGATGTCATTAGAAAATCAATTATCAAGATGATTGTTAAAATGCTAAAGCTCAATCTTAACAAAGAAGTTTTGGATAGATTTTTTACCGAAATACGTCCCCTTAAATCCGATAACAGAGAATACATAACATTATCAATTTTATATTTGTTCAAAAAAGTTTCAAAATTAATTATAAATAATATTAAAGAAAGCTCAACAGAATTAATATCATCCAATAATTTAAATGCATATAGTGTTGAAAACTGGCAAGAAAAGGTCTATTCAAATGACTACATTATAATTATTTTAATAACACTCATCGAAAATCTTTCAAAATCAGCACCAATTAAAGTTACGTCAAATGATATTATTGACTTTATCTCAAAAAAACTAAATCAATCACCAAAACAATTAATCATGAATAATATGCCAAAATATATTAATAAGAAAATCATTGATAATATTTGCAATAATGTTCAAGCTTTAAATATAATGTGCTCATCGATTTTAGGTTGCTCACTAAATCAATTTCTCATCGTTTCTCTTCCGACTGTTATGCCGGAATTAATTCTCAATGAAAAGCTTTCAAGCAATACATTAAAGGTACTCAAAGAAGAAATTCCAACCATAAAAACTTTATGTGCTGAAGAGACTTTACTTTCTTCAATTTTAGAATATATATTTATTCATTCACAAGATCAACAATCTTTGGCCAATTGTATCTCATTCTTTTCAAAATACGCCGATTTCGAAGCCACTACTCTTCTTAACTATCTTCCAAAATCATTCTTTAATTCTCTACTTTTAAGCTTAGGCGATGACAATACCTATGAAAAAACAAAGAAAGCCATCAAATATGTTTATCAACTTTCAAATTCAAATATCACTCTAGATAAATTTTTAATGAAAGAGTTTTTGGGCTCAATGAATTATTATACATTAATGTTAGAAAAAAAGAAACTAGTATCTGAAAAAAAAGTATTAATGCTAAGTTTCAAACGTTTGTTAGAATTAATGTCAGAAAGTATCAATTTCTTTAAACCAAAGATTATGGCATTCCTCAGATTAGCTCATAAAACTCCTGTAGAAGACATTGCCATTGATGCTTGGTCAACTTTTATTCATTTATTAAATTTAAAAAATATTGGCTCCATTTTAAATCAAATAATCTTTTCAATACTTCCATATGTTAATAACTATCCGGATAAAGTTAAAAGTATTCTCTATTATCTTCTTATAGAAAATAGTACAACCCTTGGTCCATATTTTAAAACCATCCCATTCCTCCCAAAAGATGTTGAAGTATTAAAGCCATTTGTAAATATTATACAACCAGAAAAAAAAAACGAATATAGCATTAAAGAAGACATCGAACAACTAATCGTTTTATTAAGCAATGAATCAAATGACGTTAAATTAATGACACTCAACAGATTAAAGGAGATTCTTAAAGATAATAAAACCGAAGTTGAGAAATTAATACAGTCCGAAGGTCCACCTACAAATAATCTTTTCAAATCATTGATTATTGGTTTTAGAGACTCCAATTCAAAGGTCAAAGTAGCATTCTTAAAGTGCCTGGGTGAATTAGGTGCCGTCGATCCATCAAGATTAGATTTCTCCCTTAGATCAAAAGTATATGTTGAAGATGATAAGATTGGAATTGCCACGGAATTAATTGAAAATTATCTTTCAAAATTTGTAGTTTCACCAAGCTTCCCAACCCCACAAGATAGAGCTGGCTATGCTATCCAAGAGATTTTAAAAAGTGACAAGGATCTTTTTAATAGACTGCCACAAGAATGCAAAGAAATTGTTTATCCTTATCAAACATCAGAATATCATTTACCAGTTTCAAAAAAATCCACCACAAACAATACAGTTTTCTTTACACCATCTATTCCTTATAGAAAATGGGTTTCATCATGGCTATCCAGTTTACTAGATAAGACCAAAGGCCCCCTCGATACTATATTTATGGCCTGTCGTGGTATTATCAAGGATGATCTAAAGATTTGTCATTTCCTCCTTCCGTTAGTAATCGTTAATATTATTGGGCAAGACCATGAACAAGATGTAGCTTTGATAAGGGACGAGTTTTTAGAAGTATTAAAAAATGATAAAGATGTCAATTCTGAAAATGCTCAAATGTGTACCCAAATTATTTTCCAGATTATAAATAGTTTATCAGTTATTCTAGATACCAAAAAGAAGAAAGCATTAGCTCTTAAAAGTGGCAAAAATGCTAACACGAAAAAAAAAATTGACTTTCCTCAAGAAATTATATCAATTGAAAGATTTATTAGTAAAATTCCTGAAATAGATTTAGCAAGAGCTTCCTACAGATGCAAAGCGTTATCAAACTCACTTATCTATATGGAATCAGTAATTAGAAAAGAAACCATTGCTTTGGAAAAAAGTTTCCAAAATAAAAAGCAATTACCACCACAACAACAGCAACAGCAACAACAACAACAACAACAAAAGCCACCTGTCAGTTTTAGAGAAGAGGCAATTAACAACCATTTGGAATCATTACAAAAAATCTATCAAGAAATGGACGATGTTGACAGTTTAATTGGTTTATCTCATATTATTAGAATAAATGGTGCAAGCGATGATGAAAAAATTGTTGAATTGGAGGCTCAAGGAAGTTGGGGAGATGCACTTTTATATTATAACAGCGCATTAGAAAAGCAACCCAACAATATTGACCTAAAGATTGGTGCTCTTAATTGTTTATTTAACAATGGTCAATATGAATCTCTTTTACTTCAAATCGAAGGTCTTAAACAAGAAGGCTATTTATCACAAAAAGACCAAGCCAAAATTAATACACTTAAGATTCAAGCAGCATGGAGACTTTCAAACTGGGATAAAATTGAAGAAACACTTTCACAGCCCAATGAAAATAATTTCGAAGTCTATATTGGCAAAATTTTATTGTCATTTGTAAAGAAACAGGAAAAGGAATTTAATTTCAATTTAAACCAATGCCGTATTTTCATTTGTTCACATCTTACTGGCTCATCATTAGATTCTTATCAGAGATGCTATCCTCATTTAGTTCAAGCCCATATTTTAGAAGAAATTGAAAAAAGTTTTAAAATTTTAAATCCATCCAAAGAAACCCAGAATCAAATAAATAATAATATCGACATTAGTATTCCTCAACAAGTGAATAAATTAGTTAATGAATGGGATGAAAGATTAAAAATTGTCCAGCCTTCATTCAAAGTTAGAGAATCAATTTTAGGTATTAGAAGAGAAATTTTAGATATAGCGTCACTTCAAAAAGAATCTGCAAATTGTTGGATGAAGATTAGTAAATATGCAAGACATGATAACAAAATTGAATTATCACTCAACGCAATTTTAAAACCAATATCATCCCAAAGAGATAAACCATACATTATCGAAAATGCAAAACTAAAATGGAAACAAGGCCACAGTATTGAAGCCATCAATACATTATCACAAGAATTAAAGCTATTAAAATTTAATAATGATAAAAAACTTTCAGCCAAGGTTCATTTATTAATAGCAAGATGGAAGCAACAATCTGGTATCACTCAACATAGTGAATTAATTGATCACTATAAGGCTGCCACAACATACAATTGGGAAAAAGGTTTCTTTTTTTTGGGTAGATACTACGAAACTTTACTTTCAAACCTAAAAAGAATCAATCCAAACTCTCCAAACTCTCCACCAGAAGACCCCATGTTGTACCTTGACTATACCAAACATATACTTTTTTCATTTGGTCAAGCTGTTAGTATTGGCCACTCTTATATATATCAAACTCTTACTAGAATTATTACTCTTTGGTGCGAGCTTGGAAATGTTTTCCCAGATTTCGATAAGGTTGAAAGATCTTTTAAAGAGCCACTTCATCAAATCAAAAAAGCTATGAATCGTTCTGAACAAGAAATCTCAGCATCAAACTGGCTAATCTTTTTACCACAATTAGCATCAAGAATTTGTCATAAGAATACTGATACATATGCGATTATTGAAAAAGTAATCGTTAAAGTTTTACAAGCATATCCTCAACAATCCAATTGGATTATGGCAGCACAACAAAGATCAAAAACAACTCAAAGAAAAGAAAAAGCAAAGATATGTTTTCAAAAAGCAAGAACTAATCAAACAATTATACAAAGCCAAGAGCTATCAAGCCAATTATTTTCAGTTTTATTGCAAGTCTCTGAATTTAAAATTCAAAGGGCACCCAATACGAAACCTATTATTAAAATATCCGAACACTTTAAAAAACTTGAAGAACTTCGCAAAATCCCAATCATTCTCCCTCTTCAAACCTCAATGAATGTCAATCTACCACCAAACGGACTTGCTGACAAAAATTATATGGTTTTCGGTAAACTCCCAACAATTTCATATTTTGATGATAATATCGAAGTAATGTCTTCACTTCAAGCACCCAAAAAGATTCAAGTTTATGACCAAAATGGCCAAAAACACAGTTTCCTTTTAAAACCCAATGATGATCTTCGTAAAGATGCTCGTGTAATGGAGTTTAATACCATGGTTAATAAATTAATTAAAAGAGATCCATCATGCAGAAAGAAAAATTTAAAGATTAGAACCTATTCAGTAACCCCATTAAATGAAGAAAGTGGCATTATCGAGTGGGTTCCAAACACCCAGACTATACGTTCAATTTTAAATCCTCTTTATGAAAATTACCAAGAAGATACTAAAAAAATTCACAATCTCATCGCTGCAAAAAAAGAAAAACAATATATAGAACTTTACGAAGAAGATTATCCAAGACTGTTCCCTCCAATGCTCTATAAATACTTTTTAAATCAATTCCCAGAGCCATCCTCTTGGCTAGACGCTAGAAACTCATTTGCTCGCTCATGCGCTTTAATGTCAATGATTGGTACTGTTTTAGGTTTGGGTGATAGACATACCGAAAATATTCTCGTTGACTCAACATCTGGTGAATGTGTCCACATTGATTACAACTGTCTCTTTTGGAAAGGCGAAACATTTAAGGTACCAGAAAGAGTTCCATTCCGTTTAACTAGAAATATTACTGATGTATTTAGTGTTCATGGTGTTGAAGGTACATTCAAAACTGTTTGTGAAAACTCTCTTGGAGTTTTAAGAAATAATAGAGAGGTATTACTTCGTGTATTAGAAGCATTCATTTACGATCCATTCATCGATATTTTCGAAAAGAAAACAGTTAATACCACCGAAATAGAGAATGATCAAGCTTTAGATATAATTAAAAGAATTGATTTAACCCTTCAAGGCGTTCCTCAAAATTTTGTTGGATTACAACTTTCAATCGAAGGTCAAGTAAACTATTTAATTCAGGAAGCCACAAATCCTAAAAACTTAACAGAAATGTACATTGGTTGGGCCTCTTGGATGTAGAATATATATATAACACAAAAAAAAAAAAAAATCATAAATAAATTATAAAAAAATTTTGTATAATAAATATCAATAGCTTTTTAACCTAAATAAACAAGATAATTTATTTTTTTAAAAGATATTTTAATAAAAATCAAAAATGATGTAATATTTTTTTAATTTTATTAAAAAAAGTTTCACTATAATTTTTTTTTTTTTAATTTGATTTGTTGAATAAAATAATTTTTTATTTTAAGTGTATTTTTGATATCAAAAACTTTAAAACTAGATGGATACAAAAGAAAAAAAATCAATTAAAAAGCCAACAATAAAAGAATTAAAGGAACTAGCTCCTATTTTAAAAAAAAGTTTCGAAAGATTTAAATGTTTAAATCAATATGCAATTTTACAAATAACTGAAAATTCAACCAAAGAAGAAATTACATCCAAATTTAATCATTTATACAACGAATATAAAGAAGAAAGTATGATTATTGAAGTTTTAGTAAATGCCCACAAAATGTTAACGAATGATAACCAAAGACAAATTTATGACACCTTTGTTTATAAAAATGAAAAAGCTGTTTTGGACCAATTGGATAAAATAAAAAAGAAAAATAAAAAAAATACACTTAGTATGATCAAAAAAGCTATTATTTTCTCTGTTTTTTTCTCTTTACTTTTTATTTTTAAATAGGTAATAAGGTATGTAAAATATTATAATTTTGCAATTTACAAATTAAATACTAAAAAAAAAAATTTTAATAAAAAAGCTTTATAAACAAAAAACACAATTAAAAAAATTAAATAAAAAAAAATTCTTTATTTATCTCGATATATTTTGTTGGTTATATGGCGAAGTTGGGATTGGGCTGCCCGAGTTTAAATTATTATATATATTTGGAGCTTGGTTATTATCTATATTTTGTAAATTAAAGTTATTTGGAATTGATTGTTGTTGACTAGTTTGTACAGGTTGTTGTAATTGTAATTGTTGTTGTGGTTGTAGTTGTTGAGGGAAATTTGGAGGAAATGTGGTAGTATCTTTTGCGATGACACTGCCCCAAACATTTTTTAACATCTCCATATTAGCAAAATCGTATCTAGTTGATGAATGAACTCTAACCAAAAGCATAGCCTCTTGTTTTGGTGTTAAAATACTACTAAGAGCGGAATGAGTATCCTCCATTAAAGTTCTTTGTTTTACAAAATTCTTTTTTAAAGCTTCTAATTTTCTTGTAAACTCTAAAATTTCTGAGATATCAATATTTGCATTAATTGGGCTATAGCCCAAATCGTTACAAACTGAAATTGTACCATTAACTGCAATATTGCTATCATCGGCATTGTTACCATTTTGTACACTATTTAATAATGCTAAACCTGGAGAAGGTCTTACACTAACTGGATTAGGGGTTGGGCCATCGTTGAGTGATAAATTAGTTGCAAAAGATCTGTTTAAACGTTCGTTAGTTGGGAATACCATAACTCTATTTAAATAAAACTCTTTAATGGATCTATCAAGCTTTTCTCTTTCGTTTCTTAACTCGATATCAGCTTTCCAATGATTGGATCTAAGTGTTTTAATTGCTTTAGCTTGCTCTTCAGTGATTTGGGCCTCTGAGATATACATTGACCACCAGCCGTCTGATGATGGACCTGAAATTGATGAAATCATAGGATTTTCTAATGATGGAACATAACCCATTGCAGCCAATTTAGCCTGTGTATATGGATGAACCATTTTCTCGACCTCTCTTTCGACAATGGTATGACGTTTTTCTATAGAAAGGTGGAAGAGTTGTAAAAGATAAATTAAAGATCTTTCATCATTCTTTTTAATTGCAACATCTAATTGAATAATAATTTGTTTTGCCTCCATCATCATTGTAATAAATGCTGGGTCAGGTTTCATAATTTCGACACCGCCACCTTTTTTTAAATTAATATTCTCTTTCTTTAATTGATCATTCTCCAATGCCAATACTGCCAATTTCTCTTCGATTTCCCTAATATATTCCTTCTTTCTTTGTCTGTAATTTCTTGATGCTAAATTTTGGTTTACTCTATTTCTATTCTTTTTATTCTCACGCTCTACATCTGATGAGTCTGAATCATCTTTATTTTCCTTTGAAGGCTTAATTGGTTTAGTAGATGTAGTTGTAGTTTGTGAAATATTTTGTTGGATTTGTGTTTGTAGAGGAGATTGATATTGTTGTTGATATTGTTGGTATTGTTGTTGATATTGTTGTTGAAGTGGTTGTTGTAGAGATTGTTGCTGTTGTGGTTGTTGTTGTTGTTGATAAAATTGATTCATTTGTGAAGTATTTTTATTTTGTTGATAAAATTGTTTATTGTTGTTGTTGTTATTATTATTATTAACTAATGGTTGTTGTGGTGTTTGATTATTTGTTGGTTTATTTCCCCCAGAATAAGAAGCTGTTAATGTTAATTCGTTTTCTCCAAATGGTACTAATTGATGAAAAAATGACTCGAAAGATCCTGAATCCATTTTTTAAACATAAAGAGATTATTTAAAAAAAAAAAAAAAAAAAAAAAAAAAATTATTAATTTTATTGTTTATATTAATTTTATTTATAATTATATTGCTATTATGATCCTAATAAATTATTTTTTTCTATTTTGGTGGGTTATTGTTTATATACTATGGATATATTTAATTAGTTGATAATTTTATTTTATTATTATTTTATTTTTATTGTTTTTACTTTTATTTTATTTTTATTATTTTTTATTTTTATTATTATTATTATTATTATTTTAATGAAATTTTATAAAAAGGATATAAATCTATCACATACAGAATAAAGATAAAATAATTAATAATTAATAGAAATAATAGGAAGACTATTTATTAATATTAATTTAATATTAATATTAATATTAATAGTTAAGATGGATGGGATGCAGGTTAATAAATATAAATAGACTGTTTGTATATTACAGTTTAATTGGATTGTGTGAAAAAAAAATTTAAAAAAAATAAATAAAATAAATAAATAAATTAAATTTAATAAAAATATTATTATTTATTTATTATTTATTTTTGGATGGTGATATAAATTGTGTGTATGTGTGTGTGTGGTTTTCAATATTTTTGTCACGATGAATTATCGGTATGTTTTTTTTTGTGTTATTATGATTACTGTTATTTATCCCTTTTTTTTTTTTTTTTTTTGTTTTTTTTTTTATATATATATTTATATATATAAAAATTATTTATATATTTATAGTTTATACATTAAAAAATATTATTTATAAATTTTTGCTAATAATATTATTTATTAATAAACTAATTTTTCAAAATTTTTTTTGGAAAACTATTAATTTAATCACGAAAAATTGTGGTGTTTTGTTCGTGAAGTTTTATATTTTAAATAATTAAAAAAAATATGAAATAATTAAATATATAATATATTATGTTATATAGCGATAAATGTTATTATTGAAAAAAAAATAAAAAAATTTTAATTTTTTTGAAAACTAAAAAATTTCTTTTTTTTTAATTTAATTTTTATTTTTTATTTTTTTTATTTTTTATTTTTTATTTTTTGAAAACTAATAATTATTATTTTTCAAAAATCCTTTAGAAAACTATAAAAAAAAAAAAAATTGCTATTATATTATATTCATTGGATTTTATTATTATTATTATTATTATGAATACTGTTACTATTGCTATTATTATTATTATTATTTTTATTTATATCATTATTATTTATTATTTATTATTATTATCAATACCGTTTTTTTTGCGTAGAAATAAACCATATTGTTTTTTGATAAATTTATTACATAATATTAAAGTTTATTTAAGATCTAAAAGCATACTATTAAAAATAGTGATGTAGTTTATGTGAGAAAAAAAGAAATATGGAAAGTGATAGAGAAAAAAGAAAAAAAAGTGTGTTGTTGATAGTTTAATGATGGGGTATGTGTGGGTTATTAATAAAAAAAGTACACCACTCTCCCCTACAT